GAGGGTGAGAGAATTCACCAGAGCCAGAGCGGGGAGCAGAGCAGGCAGAAGGACCGAAGGACACTGCTGAGGGGAGCAGCGGGTGGCAGGAGAGGTCTGCGCGCCATGTGGGACCCTCCTCTGGTGGCCGGGGAGCAGCCGGGGATCGAACCGGCGCCACAGAGGCTGCGGGCAGCTTCGCAACCCAGCGCTCAACCGCTGCGCCACTGGGGAGGCCCTGGTCGAGGGATTTTGCAGGTGGAATTAAATGGAGGACCTTGGGATGGGGAGCAGCCTGGATTCCCGCTGCCAGTGTCCGAGGGTCCTCACAGAGGGGGGAGGAGGGTCAAGGCAGAGAGCCAGGAAGAGGCCGCTCCCCTGGCTGGGAGGACGGAGGAAGGGCTTGGGCCAAGATTCGGTGCCTCTAGAGGCTGGGACAGGCAGGAGGCGGGCCCTGGAGCCCACCGGGCTTAGCCCCAGAAGCGCCCTTCTGGACTCGTGTCTGACGTCCAGAGAGAAGGTACAGCCCAGCCAAGGTCCTCAGGAAGAAACACGTTCAGTGTTCTGCAAACTTTTTTGTGCTCCACAGTAAGGAATACAGCTTACACCAAGACTAGCTCACACGTACGCCTGCACACACACACACACACACACACGCGCGCGCGCGCGCGCCTACACCCTTACAGTGACAGATAAACGCTGGCCCAGGCCAGCTGGAGGTTGCTAGTGGCTTCTAAAAGGCCTAGTCCTCACTCCTCGTGTACCCAGCAAGCCCGCCCCGTGCTCCCCAAGAGCCACTCCTGTTTGCAGTGCTACGCCCCCAAATGGAGACAACTTCGTGGCTCCCCAGGAGTGACTTCCTCAGGCCAAGCCCCAGGCCTGCGGCCCACGTGCTGGGGCGCTGAAGGTCACTTCCTATTTCTGCTTATCTTGCAAGAACAGCAGGGCAGGCGTGCAACAATGGGACAAAAATATCTCTACCCGTTTTAAACAAGAAAAAAACCCCAAATTTTTCACAAGTTGACAAGTGGAGTTCAGAGCGCAGGCCCACAGGAACGTTCTCTGGTCCTGAAGGTGACTCCTCTCTGCCTGCGCGGAAAATAGGCCCGAAGAGGGAGCGAAGAGGGAGGCCTGGCTGGTGGGCAGCTGGACAACATTGAGAAGGGAGGGGTCCCCTGTTCGTTGCAGTGCTGGACCCCAGTTCGGGTCACTACGCGGTTGAGCACACAGCAGCCCACCTAGCAACGCGCACTTTCTGTATTTGTTCTCCAGCCCCAGGTGAGGGCCCAGAGCCCTGCCGGGAGAGCCCCCAGAGCCCTGCCGGGAGAGCCCCCAGAGCCCTGCCGGGAGAGCCCCCCAGAGCCCTGCCGGGAGAGCCCCCCAGAGCCCTGCCGGGAGAGCCCCGCCTGCAGCCCCCACCCCGGGCCTCGCATTGAATGAATTCTTCTCTCCAAAAGCTGGTGGGAAGGTTTTTGGCTCCTGGGCCACCAGGTGGTGGTTGGGGGGGTTCAGCAACAGTCGTCCCGCCTCTCCTCCCCGCGGCGCCCCAACCAGGACGCCCCGCACCCCAGAGCGAGGGAAGCAGCCGCGGGGGGGCCGCTTCACCAGCGAGGAGGGGGAACCGGCTTCGTGTCCACGTCCTGATGGCGGCTCGGGCAGCGCGGAGGCCGCCGGGCGGGGGTGCTCCTGGGGCCGGGCGCCCCCAGACGGGCCCTCCTGAAACCTGCCCCCCTGCGCCCTCCCTCCAGGCCTTGCAGCCGCACCTGCTCAGGGCCTCGGCTCGGGTCCCCCCAGCCCGGAGGCGCCGCAGCCCGGCCCCCCCGCCCCCCCACCACAGCCAACCTGCGGGCGAGCCTGGCGGCTCCGGTTTAAGCGGACCCAGAATCCACGGGGGCGGGGGTGGGGGTCACCACCCTCCTCCCTCCCCCATCATCCCTCACCCCATCTCCCCCCCTTACCTACCCGCCCTGCTCCCCCACGCTCCCCGCCAGCCCCCCCAACCTTCCACGTGCTGGCCCTGCCCCCTCCACCCCTCGTGGGCCGCCCGTGCCTCCCCCGCGCCGCCCTCCGCCGCCGCCGGCTGCTCCCATCCCCCCCACCCCCGTCGGCCCCCCGCCCCCGTCGGCAGACCCCCGTCGGCAACCCCCGCGTCGGCACCCCCCTGCCCCCCCGTCGGCACCCTCCCTTATCCCCCCGCCCCCCCCCGCCCCCCCCGCCCCCCTGGACCGCCCCGCGCGCGCCTCCCTCCCGCCGCCTCCGCCCGAGGCCGCGGCCCCCGAGGCTGTTCTCGCGGGCGCCGCCAGGGGGCGAGTGTGAGCCGCGGCCGGCGGGTCCTGCTCCGCGCGCGGGGCCCCGCGAGCCCAGGGCCCCCGCCCCGCGCCTGCAGACGGGTCCCCCGCGCCCCTGGCGCTCCCCCCACCCCCGCTCTCCCCCCGCGGCGGCCACACCAGGCTCCCGCCCCGGGGCTGCCGCGCGCGCTGTGCCGGCCGGGCCGCTCGGCTCCCCCCGCCCCCCGCAGCGTTCCTCCTCGCGGGGACCCCCCACCCCCAGTTCAAGCTGCAGACTCCCCGTCGTCCCTCCCCGCCCCTTCTCCACGGCGCTCCTCGCCTTGGAAAGTGGATAATTTCACTAGTTCGCCCACCGCTTCCAGGAAACGCTGAAGGCGACGACGTTTTGTTCCCCGCTGGGTCCCCGGCCCCCCACACCCGGGCTGGCCCCACAGGCGCGGCTCCCTCGGGGGTGACAGGCTGGACGGCGCGGCTGTGCCCCGCCACCAGCCTCTTCCTGCGCTCAGGACCTGGGGCCGGGGCCGGGAGACCCTCCTGGGCGCAGCTGGCGTCGTGCTGGGGGCCCCTCTGCTGCCGGCGCGCGCTCTTTCCTCGTTTTTCCGATCTGCTGTCAATAAATTGGGCTGGTTTAAAAACCGTGGCTCTTGCCTATGTGCTCTGAATAAATTAGCGCCTCATTTGCATGCAATTTACTTGGCGGCTGGTGAAGTCTCTGGGCTAAAAAGTGAAAGTTCACAGAGAGGTGTGGGCTGCAGGGGCTGCAGGGGGCTGCAGGGGGCTGCAGGGGGCTGCAGGGGCTGGAGAAGGCTGGAGGGGGCTGCAAGGGGCAGGAGGGGGCTAGAGAGGACTGCAGAGGGCGTCAGGGGGCTGCAGGGGGCTGAGCTCAGCCTGGTTAGGTGGCTGGGACGTGAGGGTCTTCACAGGCTCAGTGGCTTCTCCCGCCCATGCTAACTTTGGCTCCGTCACATGTCACAAAAGCTATGTCAACCAAGGCCAAGTCCCTGTGAAAGAGTCTCCAGTTGCCGGTGCTCCAGACTGGCACGTAGCCAGGGGTTGGGAGGAGGCACGGGGTGGATGTGTGCGGGCGCAACCTCTGGACAGAAGGCACCCTTGTCTTCTCCTGCCTGCCTGGGTCCCAGAACAAGCCGAGGTGCGGCCCTGGGCTCCCGCACTTCTCGCCAGCTTTTGTCCCTGGACGGCACTGACAGCAGGAGGAGGGAGGGGGGGTATCCTTGCCGCCATCTCTCTCCAGTGCCCCCTCTGTGGCGCCCAAGTGTGTGCTGCTTCTGGAGAGAAGCAAATAGCTTCACCAATGTCAACGGGCCCACAGGCGAGAGGGCAGAGCTGGCCATGGCTGGTTTGTGGACCCCAGAACTCAGGTCAGTAGGTCATGTAGGGACACCCCACACCCTGGGTGCACGGACCAGGTAGAGATCCCAGGTGGAGTGGCTCAGGCGAAGACCCCTTTTCGGGAGAGGTCTGACAGAGACACCCCCGCAGGCTGAATGGCTGGTTTTATGACCTTTTAAACAGACCATGACATTTTGATTTAAAAATTACAAAATTACAGAATGCATTAAATTACATTGCACAGTGAATTGCATGGTATAGGAAATAAAACTCAATAAAGCTGTTAACAAATTACAGCACAAAAGGGCCTGGCAGTGCCGCAGAGCCCGATGGCTCAGCAGGGTTTCACAAGTGCCTTCTCAGAGCTGACACAGGGGAAGTCTCCGGCAGCTCCCCCTCCTTTGGGAACATCAGCTTCGTGTTCCCACAACCCAAACAGGACCTAGTCCATAGTAGGTGCCCAATGAGTGTTTCTGGGTATATATAAGTTCTATGTTTGACTTCTGTAAATCCCTGAAGGCTGCCGGGAGGTGGCGTCTATCCCGGTAAACCATCAGCACCTCCTTGCTGTCCTTGCTCCTGCCCCAGGGCCTTTGCACAGTTATTCTCTTATCCCGACCTTCTCTCACCTTCTCAGTGCAATGGCCTTGTACCCAGCCCAAACATCCAACTGTGCGCACACTGCCGTCTGGATGTCCTTCCCGGCTCTTTGTTTTCCAGCACATGCAGCATCTTCTGTATACTATGTGCTCTTTATCAATTTGCTGTTTACTTTCTTTCTGCCCCCTATTCAGGGAATGTTGGCTATTGATATTTCTCCAGCTGTTCCCATCTTGTATCCACTCACCCAAACTAGCACACAATACGTGCTTAGTTAAGTGCTTATTGGCTGAAGGAAGGAAGGAATGCTTCTAGGTCCAGAGTTGTAACTCCTAGAGTGGCAAACTATAGGCTGTGCCTCAGTTTCCCCAGCTGTAGAAAAGGGACCATGACCTCACCAGTCCTTCCTGCTGCAAGGTTGTGGGTGTCGAGTTTTCTCCAGCTCCCTGGGGCCTACTCTGGCCCCGACTACCCAGCTCAGCCGGCTCCCTGGGGAACCTGGTCTGCTGACATCAGATTCTTTCCTGGACTGTCCAGTCACCTGGTGACACTTGATCCCAGACCCATTTCCAGGCCTCCATCCATTGACCAGCTTGCTCAGGTCAGGGCCCTAAGACTCCATGCCAAGGGACAAGGGGCAGTCTGTGCTCCCAGGGAGGGTGTGGTGAGGCCAGGGCTCAGCCAACACGTGTAGAAGCTGGGCGGAGGGGACAGCGCCAGCACCACGGCCAGAGCTGCTGTGCTTGGGAGACAGCATCAGCCTGCGCTCCTCTCTTGCTCACCATGGGTACCCTCAGCTGCAACCCGGCTCTGCGGCTGACCTCTGCACCCCTGGGCCAGCGCGCCAGCGTGTGCCCGATTCCACAGCCGAGGAAGTCCTGCGGGATTGCTGCCTTGGAGAGTGGTATGGGCACGGGGCAGGGGCCATGGTGCGGGGTCCCTTTTCTGCTCCATTCTCCCACCCCACTGAGCTTTCTGGAATGTTCAGTGAGCTCAGCTGGAGGCTGGAACCTCTGAGGATTTCCTTTCCTTCCCCAAACCTCAGTTTCCTTAAGTTGGATGGCTGTTGGCTCCTGTGTACGCCTCCATCCTAAAATAATGGCCCAGACACCTTTCTGGGTGCTGAGGGTAGAGCAGTGATGCAGGTGGCAAAGGCCTTGTAGGGGAGCTAGGCAAGAGACAAGGTAAATAGGAACTTGTGGTGCAGGAATAGGTGCTCTACATCCGGGGAAAAATCAAGCAGCAGGGAGTGATTGGAAGGTGTGCAGAGTGGCAGACTCTGGCACTCCACGGGGGAGCTGAATTCTGTGGGATCTCAGTCAGGGCCTGGCCCAGGCCTCAGTTTCCCTCCGTGTACAGAACAGCTGCAATCAGGTCCCAGGCTAATTTCCATGGCAGTTATGATACTGCCACTCTTTAGAGGCCACCAAACACTGTAACTGTGACAGCGTGTCTCTGTGCAACTCAGGTCTCAGTTTTTCTACCCATGACGCCAACCTCTGTGTCTGGGTCTCAGTTGTCCCCACCTGTGACCATCTAGCTGTGTCCAGCCTCAGTTTCCCCACCTGCAACCAGCTGTCAGTGTCCCAAGGAGGGAGGAGGCCCTGACCCTGCAGCCCCTCCCTGCTGTGATCACATTTGAATCACAATGCCCGAGCCACTCACTTGGCCCAGGTAGGGAGGAGGCTTTTGCTTTCCTCACCCCTGCCCTTGAGGGTGGCTGGGAGCTCCAGTAGGGCCTCAAGGGCTGGCTCTGGGGCTCCTCACCCCCATCTCTGAGGGTACCGAGGCCCAGGAAGTGATCTGAGGCTTTGGTCCCAGGCTCTGGGCCCGGCTTGTATATGCTGCCGCCCACCATCGGCTATATCAACCACGACTGCACCCGGGTGGCCGGTCCTGCCTACTCATTCCTGCAGAGGCCCAGCGAAGGTAAGGCTGGCAGGCTGGAGGGAAGGGCTCAGGGAGATGGAGGGCAGCTGGGGGGCTTCCTTTGGTCTCTAGCACCCCCAGGGGCATTTCCTCACCCCACTAGATCCAGGCCTAGTCACAGGACACATCTGGGCACAGAGTGGAAGGCAGCCTGGTGGGTCGGGGCAGGAAGGCTGGTTAGTGTAGGCTCTGTTGAATGTACGAGGGGGACTTCTTAGAGGTAGAGGCATGGGTTCTGCGCTTTGTAGGATGAGCAGGAGTTTGGTGGAGTCCCCACGAGAAGGAGGGGACTCCAGGTCGAGCTTGCAGCACAGGCGATCATGGAGGGAGGAGAGGTCACGAGCCAGGAGGTGCTCATCCATTATAAACGAGATTCATGTGTGCACAATGGCACGTGTGCATGCACATGTATGTCGTGTGTAGACCAGCAACCTTTGTCAGGCCTACTAAACAAAGGTGCTTGTGCATTTATAGCTGAAGGTGCTTAGAATGTAGCGGTAGTAATGGTGATCATAGTCATCGGTTCAGTTCTTAGTTGGGTGCACCCCCTTCCATGGAGCCCCTCGTTTTTCAATCTTCTCCTCTTTATGAGGAAAAGGAAGGCTTAGGGTAAATAGCTCCCTAAGGACACAGCTCACTGAGGCCCTGCTGGGATTTGAATGTCCAACTCTCCTGCTCAGAGGCACCCCCCGCCACCAAGTATGTCCTGTACCCACGAGTCTAAGCATCAAGAGTCCCTCTCAAACTCCTCTTCAGAGCCCAGTTACTCTTGTTTATATCAAGTTCTAACCAGGCCACCAGCTGGTTCCCCAGCCCAGCAGGGCAGAGCCTCTCAAGGACAGACACACTCATCCAGACAGGCAAGGCAGAGGCCCAGGGCCCACAGCTAGGGCAGCAGACCTCAGTGGTGTGGGACCCCACTCTCCAGGATGGGTGGCGCTGGGTGTCTGGAGGGTGGAAACACCTTGCGGCTGGCCCGGGGCACTGATGGCCGTCAGATATGTCCACAGGACCTGGGGCTTCTCTCCACAGCAGTGCCTCAGGATGCCAGCCCTGGGCCCATCTACTTCCTGGACCCGAAAGTCACCCGCTTCGGCCGCAGCTGCACTCCTGCTTACTCCATACAGGGCCGGGGCAAGTCTCGGGGTGAGCATTTGATCTGTGCTGCCTGGTAAGGCCCCACCCTCTCAGGGTCAGTGACTCTCCAGACTCTGCCCCACACCTTCCCCCCATCCCTGAGTTCTTAGAAGGAATGAAATCCAAGAGGCTCAGAACAGGGTCCACAACTCAATGTCCACAGCCCTGAGAGAACCTGGAAGGGTGACGCGGTCAGGGTGACGGCGACCAGTGCACATGCGGTGTCGCCAGGGTGGCTAGGCTCGTCCTTGGGAGCAGGAGACAACAGGGAACTCTGGGGACTGTGGCAAACGTGTGAGCTCCTTTCCTCGCTCCAAGCCACTTCCACCTAGAGCACCTCATTTAATTACCCAAACCATCTCCCACGCACACACCCTGTCTTTTGACCTATCACCCATCTGTTGTCTACACACGATCCATCAACTCATCCATCCATTATTTGCCCATCTGTCTGCTTACTATCTAACCCACCCCCTCACTGTTCCTCATTGTTTTATCCTTCCATCAACACATGAATCCATCCATGATCATTCCATCCACCCACCCACCAATCAATTCATTTACGCACACATCCTGCTATCCATATATATAGCTCCATTCATCCACCCATCCATCCATCCACCCACCCATCCATCCACCCATCCATCCATCCATCCATCCACCCACCCATCCATCCACCCATCCATCCATCCGTCTGTCCGTCCATCCATCCATCCACCCATCCACCCACCCATCCATCCACCCACCCATCCGTCCGTCCATCCGTCCATCCATCCATCCACCCATCCATCCATCCATCCATCCACCCACCCTTCCATCCATCCATCCATCCACCCATCCATCCATCCATCCACCTATCCACCCATCCACCCATCCATCCATCCATCCGTCCTTCCGTCCGTCCATCCATCCATCCATCCATCCACCCACCCTTCCATCCATCCATCCACCCACCCATCCATCCACCCATCCATCCGTCCATCCATCCATCCGTCCATCCATCCATCCATCCATCCATCCACCCACCCTTCCATCCATCCATCCATCCATCCATCCATCCATCCATCCATCCATCCATCCACCCATCCACCCATCCACCCATCCACCCATCCATCCATCTACCCATCCACCCATGCACCCATCCATCCATCCATCCATCCATCCATCCATCCATCCACCCATCCATCCATCCATGCATCCATCCATCCACCCACCCATCCATCCTTCATCTACCCAACCATTTATCCATCTTCATTGATGAAATCCACGGATCCACGCATTCACCCATCCCACTCCCCATTCACGGCCCGTTCCCCTACACATACATCTGTTCATGATCCTCCAACCTACACAGGGATCCAGCCACTGATTAACCCACTTATGATCCATCACTCAATCCTCCACCATCCATCTATCCACAGCCCAGCCTTCACCCATCTATTGGTCCACCCTTCCACCAGTAGATGCATTACGTCTCCAACATCTTGTCTGTCTGTCCACCTGTCCCTCCACGACCCATCCACCACCTCCTTGTCCACCCATCAGCGGCCCACCCACGGGGCCACCCATCCACAATCCACCTATTGATCTAGATATGTAAATATCCACGGAGTCCTTCATCTGCTCACCCACTCCAACCCCTAACCTATCCACCTACTCACTTATCTATTCAAACAAGATTTAAGACAAACGCTGGGGTTGACGTACATTTGACATGGCCTTGCTTTTTACGCGGCCCAGTGTGATGGTAGAGGGGAGACCTCAGTGAGACCCATGTGGGGGCCATGTGGGGCCGTGCCTGGAGAGGGGAAGACCCAGGCCAGGGGGTCCCGGGAAGGATCGTGAGTTCTGCTAGGAAGGAGGGAGTGGGAAGCTCGGGGACTTGGGGCTGTCTTAAAGGATGAGAAGCAGCTCCTGAGAGGTGGGAATGGGACTTGGAAGCTATGTCTGGTGGAGGGTTGGGCTTGGCCAAAGGCCTGGACGAGAACAGGCGGTGAAGGGTGGAGGGGGCGGAGGAGAAACGGCTCGAGGCTGCTGGACATGCGTGTGGGCTCCTCGCGCGGAGATGGGAGCCAGGCCAGGTGTTGGAGCAGGTGAGGCCTGTCCGTTATCAACACTTCGGCCCATTCTCACAGGTCATGAGGTGACACCAGGCCCTGGGGCGTACAGCCCGGAGAAAGTAGCCCCTGTGCGCCAGCGGACATCCCCGGCCTTCACCCTGGGCGCCCGCCTCCGCCCGCAGCCGCTGGACAACTCCGTCCCTGCCCCCAACACCTACACCCTGCCCTCCCTCTGGGGCTCCCAGGTCTTCATCAAGCCTAGCAGCCCCAGCTACACGGTGGGGGGCCGCACGCCCCCTGCCCGCCCCCCCAGGACCCCACTGAGACACCAGGCCCGGGCCAGTATGACAGTCCCGACCCCAATGCCTACCGCCAGCGCCGGCCTGCCTTCACCATGCTGGGGCGGCCCCGGGCCCCACGCTCCCCGGAGACGCCTGGCCCTGGCGCCCACAGCCCCGAGCAGGTCACCGTGATCAAAGCCAGGGCCCCAGCGTTTACCATGGGCGTCCGCCACTCCAGATGGGCTGCCACCATGACCGCGGACACCACAGCCTGACGTGGCTGGGGGCACCCGCGGTCCCCGGGCGGAGCCTTCATTTCCTACCCCAGGGAGTGGGGTGTGGGCCTCTCCTGGGCTGGGCTTTGGCTGGGGGTGGGGGACACAGAGATGTGGGAGGGGGAAAGGTGCCTTGGTCCTTTCTGAACTGTCTGAGGTCCTGCTGGGCCACCTGCTCCTCCAGTCCCTGGGGCTGTGACCCTGAGGGCCTGTTCAGGGTGAGCTCCTTCCAGTGCCCCAGTTCTTCTCTCCAGGTCATGCCAGGCCAAGCCAGTCTAGGCAGAGAAAGGAACACCCTGGCCTTTCTCAGTGGCCAGCAGGAGGTGGAGCTTCCTGTGTCCTAGAACTCCGTGTCTGCCCCATCAGGGCTTGGGTCCCCAACTTGGGTTAATGCCAAACCTGGGCGCTTCCTCCCCGCTTCTCATGAAGCACAGCTGCCTGCCGTGGTCCTAGTCCAAACTCCAGCTGGAAGCAGTTCTGATCACCCCCCCCCGCCCCCCATCCCACCTAACAGCCTGCCAATAAATCTCTGTGACGCTGAGAGCCGCCAGCACCACACGGCTTCATTCCTTTAAGCTCATCTGCTCACATCATGCAAAGGAGACCTGAACACTGCTCTCGAGAGCAGACCCGACTCTGCAGCTCCTCTGGGTCTGCGTGGGACCAGCGGGGGATGGAGGCCTGGGAGGGGCAGGGCTCTGAGTGGGGAGCGCTGGGGAGGCTACTTAGAAGGGGGGCAGCGGGACATGGAAGCAGCCTACATAGCTTGGCTCAAGATTTAGTTTATCCACACTATGGAAAACTACTCAGTCACAAGGAAAGATGAAATGCAACCATTTTCAGCAAAATGGAGGGAATGGGAGGGAATGCGTAGTAAAGCAAGTCAGAAAAATAAAAAGTAACACTGGATATTTACACAACAGACAATTAGATCAAGTAAACTACTTGCAAAATCTAGTGGACATTTATATACATTTTGAGGGTTCTGAGGATAAGAGGGAGGCTGGCGGGACAGAGGAACAAGGGGGCAGAAAGGATGGTGGTGGGGAAAGAATTTGGTAAAGAAGGAGAAACATCTACGAATGACTGTGGCTTCATGGAGAACAGGTTGTAGGAGAGAGGGGAAACGTGGAGACAGATAAGGATGCTGCAGCCTCTGGTCGGGTCAGGACAGTAGAGTTGTGAGTGGACAACAAGCAATTTTAGAGAAAGGACCGGTAGAGCTTTGCAGGTAGATTGGATATGAGACATGAGAGAAAGGGTACAAGCCAAGCTTGGGCTTGAGTGAGTAAACAATGGTGCTGTTTACTAACAATAAAAGAGGGGACATTGTAGCTGGGTTTTGAAGGATGTATAGGAGTCTGGTATATTGTGATATCTGCCATCGGTAGGTGTCTACCGTGTTCCAGATATTGATAAAGATCATTTCGGGGCCTCCCCGGTGGCGCAGCGGTTGAGCACTGGGTTGCGAAGCTGCCCGCGGCCTCTGCGGCGCCGGTTCGATCCCCGGCTGCTCCCCGGCCACCGGAGGAGGGTCCCACATGGCGCGCAGACCTCTCCTGCCGCCCGCTGCTCCCCTCAGCAGTGTACTTCGGTCCTTCTGCCTGCTCTGCTCCCCGCTCTGGCTCTGGTGAATTCTCTCACCCTCCCGCGCTTCTGACTGTACCCAGTGCGTGTATAAACAAAACAAACAAACAAACAAATAAATAAAACATGCCTCTAAAAAAAAAAATCATTTAAGTATCACAACAACTCAGGAAGCAGGTGATGTTTAGTGAGAGGACATGGGCGTTAGAGAAATTAAACACTAGTCCCCATGATACTGTAACCAGAAGACTACAGCCAGGGCCACCTGTCACCACCAAATGCCAATAAAGTAGAGACAGGAATTGAATCTTGAAGGTGCACTTTAATCAGACAGCCCGTCGGTGGTCTGGCCAATGGGGAGGTTAACCCCTTAAAGAAGCCACCTTAACATTTCATTTCCAGCTGGCTTTTCATAATGAGTTGAACAAAGATGGTTCAGCAGTAAGCAGGTCTTCACCGGCGCCAAGAGTGATGTCCAGCCTCTCAGGGCTCCTCCTCGTCCTCCTGGATGCGTGGCCTCAAGTGTGTCCTATCCAGGTATGCTCAGTTGGTCTTCTGCTGGCATGCGCTCCCCATATGTCTCCAGATGTGTCCTGCAAAATTTTCTTAGAGTGGCCTTAAGCGACGTGTGTGTGTGCAGATCCTACTACATTGTGCAGTGTCTTACGTGCCCCGCACCCCCCTCGCCCCGATCAAAACTAGGATTTGAATCAGGCCATTGGACTCTGCTCCTGCCACTCTTTCCTCGGAATCGGAAGGAAACACGCGGATGGTGTCACGTGACGGGGCCCTCTATGTGATGACAAACCTTTGATCCAGAAAGACCCTGACCCGGGAGCTTGGAAGGGACAGTCTGTGCCACATGTCTCCATGGGGAGGCGGACCCAGGGGGCAGCACCGCAGGCGGTATGGCGTCTGACGGTCCCGATTCCTCGCCCGGGGACCCAAACTTGAAAACACGCGCATGCATGCGCGCACACACACACAGAGCTGATGGAAAAAGCAGTTACACACGGAACAGGCATTGCTGAAAGTGAAGACAATCTAACCAGAAAGCTTGAATCCTTGGCTAATGTTGAGGCTGAATATGATGACACGTGGGAGGACAGTATTCCTCTCCCTCCTCACTCTCCTTCAACAGAATCCACACCGGCCTCCTCAAAATCCTTCTTAATGGCAGCCATGTCCTCACGGGCACCAGAAAACCCTCCTTCGTCCCCCTCATCCCTGTGCCCCTGGGCTCAGGCACACCCGGCTTCCTAAAAAGCAGGTCGCTCTGGTCCGGCCAAGCGGAGTCAGCAGTGGCCGAGGCTTGCTCAGTGCGCACACTGCTGGCCCTCGGGCCAGGTCTCCGCCACAGTGATCAATGCCAACTTTGAACCCAGTAGGCACCAGTCTAAAACCACATGCTGGGCTTCCCGGTGGCGCAGGTAGTTGAGCGCAGCACTGTGAAGCTGTCTGCAGCCTCTGTAGTGCAGGTTCAATCCTAGCCAGCGGGCGAGAATCCTACATGGCCCAGCAGACCTCTCCTGTCTCGCCCGCTGCTCCCCTCAGCAGTGTATTTCAGTCAGTCTGCCTGTTCTGTTCCCCACTCTGTCTCTGGTGAATCCTCTCACCCCCCCCCACACCTCTGGCCTGTACCCTGGTTCTTGTATGCATGAATAAATAAATCTTATAAAAATATAAAAAAAATAAAACCACATGCTGCACTTGGCTTTGGTGGCAGTGGCAGCACTGATGCCTGGGAACCACGTCACCAGGTACAACAGGCTGCAAACTGTGTAGGTACCCTGGGGTACCCTGGCGAGGGGCACGATTCACCATCTGCCTGGCCCGCTCACAGCACAGACCTCAGAAATCTGCACACACACCCCTTTACCTGACTAAGACCCTTAGCACACACCTGGACCCCCAACCCTCGGACACACACCAAGACTCCTAACACACTTATACACACCTCTGGGCCACTACACACACCTGGCACACCAGGGCTCCCCGCCACACCTGCACGCAAACCCGCGCTCCCTCCCCACGGCCCCGCTTGGTGGCAACTGCACCTTCTCACGCGTGCACCGTCGGCATCTGCGCGCATGTGCGTAGGCGCCAACCGAGACACCCGTGGGGGTTCCCGGCCCACGAAGTCACCCCCACGGGCCCCAAGGCCACGCCCTCCACACGCCGGCCCGGCCCAGGGCGCAGGGACCCCGCCGCGGTCCAGCGTGACGCCCACGCGCCCGGCCCGGCCCCGCCCGGCGCCCGCGGCCGCCGCCAGCCAATCGCCGCCGCGCGCGCCTGCCCCGCGCCGCGCCCGCGCTCCAGCCTCGGATTTATCGATCCGGCTGCAGGCCCCGCGCGGGGCCCGCCCCGCCAGCCCGCGTCTCCCCGCCCCTCTTTTGTTCCCCGGCTGTCGGGCCCGCCGGGGCGAGGCGGGGGGGGGGGGGGGGGGGCTGGCCGGGCCGGGCCCGGGGTGGCCGCGACTCTGTCCCGGCGTGGCGGGAACGGCCCTGCGGGCTGGGAGGGCAGACGAGCCGGGAGTTCGGTTGGGCTGATGCCGGGCAGCGCTTTCCAGAAGCGCATCCCGGGCCGTGCGGGCTGCGCCCGGCTGGCGGCCCCGAGGCCGAGGTCCAGGCGCGCGCGGCGAGGGCGCAGTGTCCGCCCGCGCGGGCCCGTCGGTCCCCCGGGGGGCGGGCGTCGCGTCGGGCCGCAGAGCCGGGTCAGGAGCACAGCGGGGCGCGGTCTTCACGCGCCTCCGCCCGGAAGGGGGGTCGAGGGGGCGGACCTCGGGGTTTGGGGCTCCCCCGCCCTTCTCCAGCCTCACTCTCCCGGCCTGAAGGCGAGACCGCGGGGCGCCTCCCGGCCCCAGCCTGGCGCAGCGGCTCAGCCGCCGGGGAGGGCGCGGCTCGAGGGGTCGCAGCTGGACCTCGGGCTCGACGCGTCGCTCCCCGCGGCCCTGACCCGGCGCCCGGGCCCGGCGGAGCTCAGGCTCCCCGGCTCCGCGCTGGGCGCCGCGCCGGCGGGGGCCGGGGTCCCGGGGGGCGCCCCCCGCGGCTGCGCGCTGGGCCGGGGATGACATCACCGGGGGCGGGGAGGGAGCGGAGGCTCCGGGGCCGCCTCCGCCCGGCTCAGCGCCCGGTCGGGCTCGTCCCGCCGCCGCAGCCATGACGCAGGGTCCCGGCGGGCGCGCGCCCCCCGCGCCCCCCGCGCCCCCGGAGCCCGAGGGGCCCACCACCTTCTGCGCGCTGCTCCCGCGCATGCCGCAGTGGAAGTTCGCGGCGCCCGCCGGCTTCCTGGGCCGCGGCCCCGCGGCGGCACGCGCGGCGGGGGGCTCGGGGACCCCCGACCCCCCGCCCGAGCCGGCGGGCGCGGCCGGCGTCCCCGCGCTGGCCGCCGCGGTCCTGGGCGCCTGCGAGCCGCGCTGCGCCGCGCCCTGCCCCCTGCCCGCGCTCGGCCGCTGCCGCGGGGCCGCGGGGCCGCGGGGGGCGCGGGGGGCGGCCTCGGGCCCCGACGCCGCCGCGGCCGCCGAGTGGGTCCGCAAGGGCAGCTTCATCCACAAGCCGGCGCAGGGCTGGCTGCACCCCGACGCCAGGGTCCTGGGGCCCGGGGTGTCCTACATCGTGCGGGTGAGTGCGCCGGCGGGGCCCCGGGGACGCCCCGGACGCGGGTCCCCCCGCCCGCAGCCTGGGAGCGGGGGCGCGCGCCCACGCCTCTCTCCCGGGCGCGCGGCCCCGGCCGCCGGGCTCCCCGGCCGGCCCCCGCCCGCCGCCGGGACCGCCCCGCCCGGGAGGCGCCGGCCCGGGTTCCCACGGCGTCACGTGGGGGAGGAGCCGGGGAGGGCGCATGCGCAGCCCCGGCGGGAGCGTCTGGGGCGGGGAGATGACTTGGGGGGGCCCCCCTGCCACCCAGACCCCCGCGCTGGAACCCCCTTCGCTGACCTGCGGAGGCCTTAACCTGCGGCGGGGCGCGCCGGGAAGGAGCACCTGGGTAGGAGCCGGCGCCCCACAGGGCCCCAAGATTCCAGAGCCCAGGAACTTCTAATGTGGGGGGAAAAACTGGTCTTTATTGACCCCTGGTTTTTATTATGAACCTTTGAAGCATAGAAAGAAGTTGGACGGACGGATGGCCTGTGTGTCTGCCCCTGCGGACACTTAACCTTCTCTGCTCACTGTTTCTATCTATCCCTATATGTAGTTTTTTTTTTTTTTAAAGAATGTATCTACTGACTTTATAATTTTTGTCACTATCATAAAGTGTCCTTTTTTTTTTTTGAGATTTATTTATTTATTTATACAAGCACCGGGTACAGTCAGAAGGGTGGGAGGGTGAGAGAATTCACCAGAGCCAGAGCGGAGAGCAGAACAGGCAGACTGACAAGTACACTGCTGAGGGGAGCAGTGGGCGGCAGGAGAGGTCTGCGCGCCATGCGTGACCCTCGCCGGCAGCCGGGGATCGAACCGGCGCTGCAGAGGCTGCGGGCAGCTTAGCTGCCCAGCGCTCAACCGCTGCACCACCAGGGGAGGCCCCCCTATATGTAGTTTTTGGTGAACCGTTAAACAGTAAGCAGCCGGTGGGGGCACACTGGCCACTAAGTGCTTCCACACGAGTCTCTCAAGATAGCTCCAGCTCACTGTTCCAGCTGAGAAGACTTCAGGGACGCCAGCTGTCAGGTCCACACCTCAGTCCTCTGGGCCTGGAGGTGTTTGTGTTTGCTTTGGCTTGTTGGGTGACTTTGCTTCCTTTCCAACTCTCCCCACACCACTTACCACCCTGGCCTGGTAGAGGCGTGTTCCTGAAAGAGTCATGTCTGTTGGAAACTGTGAATGTGGGCTTACTGGGGATCGGGCCATTGTAGACATCATCAAGTTAAGACAAGGCTGCGCTCGAGTGAAATGGGCCCTGAGCAATGACAGATGTCCTTCTAAGAAGGGGGACATTTGGGCACTGCACAGAGGAAGACTACCAGGTGATGATGAGGGCAGAAGGTGCAGTCAGCTTCAAGCCAATGGACCCTACGGTGCTGTCCACCCCCAGAACCCGGGAGAGGCGGGAAGGACCCTCCCCAGAGTTTCCGAGTGAACACCATGGGCCCAGACTTTGATCCTCCAGACGGTGAAATAGTAGATTCCTGCTGTTTGTGGTACTTTGTCCTGTGGCACCAGGAAAGTTACGTGTCCCCAGTGGTGCTGACTTTTTGAATGTCCCAGACAGCTGCTCCTGCCTGTGAGCTTCCGGCTGGAGGGTCGTGTCGTTGAGCACCTGTTACGAATGCAGGCCTCCTGCATCAGCCCCACCTGGGGATCCTGTCTGATTTGTCTCTTCTTGTGGGGCCTTTTCTCTTGAGCCTTTGTCCTTTCCTGAACTGTGGCTGTTTGGTCCACAGGTGTAACTGGAGACAGGATTGACTTTGTAGCAAGAATGTCTCATGGGTGATGCTGTGAGGTTTTTTTTTTTTTAAAAGAGATTTATTTATTTATGCATTCAAGAACTGGGATACAGGTCAGAGGTACGGGGTGTGAGAGGATTCACCAGAGACAGAATGGGGAGCAGAACAGGCAGCTCTATTGAAATACACTGCTGAGGGGAGCAACGGAGAGACAGGAGAGGTCTGCTGCGCCATGTGGGTCAGCTCCCTGGCTGGGGATCGAACTCATGCTGCAGTGGCTGCGGCCAGCTTCACAGATTGTGTCTTATCCCCTTGCACCACCAGGGAGGCCAGATGCTGTGAGTTTTATATCACATCCCCGGTAGGACAAGCTGTGCCTGCCCATCAGCTATGGATGTGGGGGTTTAGAAAGCTTGGATTCAGATACTTGAGCTTGCAAGGTGCGGAGTATTAGATTATTGCAATAATCAGGGCCTTTTCACCAATGCAGCAAGTATTTAATGCATCTCTGCCCCTGCAAGGAGCTGATAATACTGCAGGAAATGAGAAAGAGGTGATCACTGCACTCAGCGGGCTTGAGATTCTAGAGGGACAGATCAACAGTAAATGAATAAGAAAGCAAATAAAATGGGAACTGGCAGATACTTGTGAGTGCTAGGCAAACATTTAAAATCAAGGGCCTCCCTGGTGGCGCAAGGGGCTAGGCACCACACTATGAAGCAATATGCAGCCTCTGCAGCACGAGTTTGATCCCTGGCCAGGGAGCAACCCACATGGCACAGCAGACCTCTCCTGTCTCGCCCGCTGCTCCCCTCAGCAGTGGATTTCAGTCAGTCTGCCTGTTCTGTTCCCCACTGCCATTGGTGAGTCCTCTTACCCCCCTGCGTCTCTGGCCTGTACCCCAGCTCTTGTATGCATAAATAAATAAATATTTAATGAAAAAAAATTAAAAATCAAGTGATGTCAGCAAGAGATGGATGGTTGTGGCTGGCATCTTTCGGGAGTTGACTTTTAAACTGACACCTGAAGCCATGGAGGTCCCCAGCTAGTGCAGAGGCCCGGTGCGAGGAATGATCTTGGCATATTTGGGTAATGCCAGAGACCACAGAGATCTGGAGCTATGGAGAGAGAAGAGGGAGAGGACTGACATCTGTTTCCTGTGATACTGGTATTTTTTTAAACAAATTATGTTTATTGTGGTAACACTGATTTACAATACTATACGTTTTAGGGTTATAGGTTCACACCTCAGGTGTGGGTGGTTTTAAGAAGGGGTAGTAGGGAACTTTGGAATTTTAAAAGGATCTTTCTGATGGCCCACTGGACACGGGACGGGGCGGGGCTGGAAGGGCTGCAGAGCGACCCAGGAGGAGGCTGGGCATTGTCAGGACTGGAGAACTGTCTGGGACCAGTGCGACTTGGGGTGAAGAGGGGTGTGTGGACCAGTGCGATTTAGGGTGAAGAGGGGTGTCTGTGTGGGAGTTGGAGCCTTGGGATTTGCTGATGACAGATGAGGGGCCCTGGCCCTGACCGGTCGGAGAAGCCGGCTTTGCTGAGTGTGAACCAGCCTCAGTTCCCCGCACTGTCCCCTGGACACCTCTGTCCTCCTGCACCATGTTACACCAGGTGTAGTAAGAGCCTGGTCGTTCCCTCCCGGTTTTCAGAGAAGTATGAGATCAGGCGGAGAGCAGGCCCATGCCAACCATGCAGGGAGTAGTCTGAGCAGGACTCACCCACACCAGCCCCTGGTTCTCTCAAGAAAAGATGTGCTGTCCCATTTACAGATGGGGAAACTGAAGCACAGAGGGAAAGAGTGGCATCTGAGGTTGTATAGCAAAAATCCAGGACAGTCCTGGAGCTAAGTTTCCTCCCGTGGGGAGCTAGAGCCCAGCGACACGTGTTGCATACCAGGGCGGTTGGCATCTATCGGGAAGACAGATGACGTGTGTCATCTGTGAAGACATCTGCCTGGAAAAGACAGCCGTGTGGAGATGGAGGCATGGATGGAGGGACGCCAAGGGTTGCCAGCTACAACAAAAGCTGGAAGAGGCAGTTGGGCTCCTGGTCTCCAGCCTCCAGAAGGAACCCGTCCTGCCAACACCTGGCTTCAGACTTCTGACCTCCAGAAGCATGAGAGGATACATTTCTGTTGTTGAAGCCACCCAGGTTTTGGAAATTTGTTACAGCAGCTCAGGAATTGGACGCACCACCTTTGACGTGACTTCTCTGTCTGCATCAGTTCTTCTCTGACCCAGAATGGTGGCCACCGGGGAAAAGCCCTCGCCCTGTGAAGTCACGAGTGAGGAATCTTGCCCAGAAACCCCTACCTGACTTCCACTGTGTCCCACTGGCCACACTCCCGTCCCATGACTTTCCCTAAACTGGGTGTGTGATGGGCTCTTTAACTAGAGAATGTTCTAGATTTGTGCTGTCCAATACAGGCTTACACTGAGTCCTTGAAATGTGGTCAGGGCAACTGGGGAAACAAGTTTTAATTTTATGTAGTTTGAAAAGAGAGTCAGGTGGCCACAGGAGGCACATGGCTACTGGACAGCTCAGTTCTAGAGGAATGTTGACCCCTGATCTTTGACCTTAGCTGATGGGGTAGATGTCTGAGCATGCTGGCTTGGCTGTTCTGTCCTGGGAAGAAGCCAGAGCACGTGCTGCTCCACTAGTTCTTGTGCCATCCGGGCCCTTTGAGCGCCTTCCTTCTTGTCCTCACTAGTTCTTCATGAGAGGTGTGCCCAGCTCTCCCGGGGTGCCGTGGGGCGGCAGGACGGTGACAAATGTGGCTGGGGCTGACTGGGGAGTGAAGCTTGAGGCTGGGCTCCGAAGTGACTCTGACTGTGTTGTTCAGTCTTTCCCGGCGTGGGGTTCTCATGTAGCGTGACGTGCGAGGAGGCCTGGTGGGGTCACTGAGTTGAGAAGTTTTTAGCAGCAATTGCAGCTTTTTCCTTGAAGTCAAGGGGTAGGGTGTGCCAGGGGTCGCTTGTCTCTGGGGTGGATTAATCCAGTGGCTTGGCAACATCCCTAAGGAACCAGGTCTTTCTGTCTGCACTGTCACCTTCAACACGCTGGCTTAGCTGCACACGTGGCCACAGAGTGATCTCCGCGACACCAGGCACCCTATGTAGACCCAGCCATGTCCCCTGGAGGAAAAAAAACAGTCTCTCCTTGGGTCTCTTTGTTAAGGACCCCACCTTCCCCCCACTTCATTGGCTAGAAATCGCAAATTCATTCACGACGAGGGAGTTGGGGCCATCAGGTTGGCTGAGACCAAGGATGAACTGGGTGCGATAGGAGCACATCTGGGAACTTGTCAGAAATGCGTTCTCTCGGACCTGCTGATTCAGAATCTCTGCGGTAGGGCAGCAGTTGGCGTTCGATGAGCCTTCCATGTGAGCTGGCATTCACGGCTGAGACCCCCCCCAGCTAAACCAACCGTTGGCAACACTGTAGTATGAATCAGTACTTATTTATAACCGGTATTTTGCAACTCCATCCTGAAATTAACTTCAAGTTTATGTAACACCTACTTGCACATTTGTTCCCCCTAAATCCATACCTTGTAATAAAACAGCGATAGGAAGGAGAAACATAGTGGCAGCAAGTCCTAATAACAGAATAGCTTCCGTGTTTAAATGTGTGGGCTTTTCTGTCCTGGAGGCGGGATGGTGGTGACAGGAGCAGAAGCAGCGTTTGCCTTCAGAAGGCCTCAGTCACGTGACAGCTACGTTGTGATACAGACAGCTGACACCATCACTGGAATTGATGTGGGCGGAGTGATTTTCAAAAATAGTGGACGACTCTTGAAAAAGTCTCCAGGACACAAAATAAAGAGTTCTGTCAATGCACATGACAGTGTCGTTAAATTCAGTGTGAATTAGGACCATTAAAAATCGTCACCATCACAGGGCCTCCCTGGTGGCACAAGGGGTTAAGATGCAACCTATGAAGCTAACCGCAGCCACCACAGCACGAATTCTATCCCTGGCCAGGGAGCAACCCACATGGCACAGCAGACCTCGCCTGACTCTCCCGCTGCTCCCCTCAGCAGTGTATTTCAGTCAATCTGCCTGTTCTGTTCCCCACTCTGTCTCTGGTGGATCCTCTCGCCGCCCGCGTCTCTGGCCTGTACCTACCCCCCGTTCTTGTGTGCATGGATAGATAAATCTTTAAAAAAAATAATCGTCACCATCACTAATATCTAAAGGTTAAACATGGAGTCACCTCTGACCTGCCGCTGGGCTTCTGGGTGTGCAGAAGCAGGTGTAGGTATCTGCACACCTACATTGACAGCAGCACGATTCACAGTCGCCAACAGGTAGAAGCAATCCAGGTGTCGCGGACAGATGGACCATTTGCAGAATGTGTCACCATCCACGGAATGGAATTTTTCTCAGCCTTGAAAAGGAAGGACTTTCTGATCTTCACTAAACATCAGTGGGCCTTGAGGATGCGACGCTCAGTGAAACAAGCCAGACACAAAGGACAAATCCTGTGTGATGCGACTCATAAGAGGTCCCTGGAGGAGTCACTTCCATATAGACCAGGGACTGGGGGAGGGAAGGGGAGTTAATGTTTGAAGGGGACAGAGTGCCAGTTGGTGAAGATGAGAACGTTCTGGGGAGGAAAAGTTTGTACAACAGTGTGAGTGAGCTTGATGCAGCGGAGACGTGCACTTTGGGTGGTGAAGGTGGTGCGCCCTATCTGTTATTATTTACCGTAGCAAAAAAATAAATAAACACATAAAAAATGCCCCCAAAGTCTTATGTTTTGGGTAAAAGAGTCAGTTGGAGGCATGGTCATGGTTACTTTTTACACACACATGAATGCCCAGTGCTGGGAGGTCACCGGAGACTTGCTGCACAGCCAGCCCCCGAGGATGCAGCTCCTACCTGCAGCCTCACCTGACTGTCCACTCACACCTGGGTGCAGGTGTGTGTTTTGGCAGCAAGCACAGAAGGTTGATGGTGTGTCCCCCAACACTAGTGCAGGCACTCAGACCACTTGTTCTGGAGAGAATGTGTCCCCAAGATTCATGTCCACCCGAACCTCAGAGCGGGACTTCATAGAAACACGGCCTCTGCAGGTGTCACCTGGGGGAGATGCGGCTGTCCTAAGTTAGGGAGGCCTAATTATAATGTGCTTGGAGCCCCCATAAAAAAGAGGGGATTTGAACACTGACACCCAGGGAGGCAGCTGTGTGGGGTGGAGGGGGGCAGAGACCGGGTGATGTGTCTGCGAGCCAAGGATTGCTGCCTCCCCCGAGCTGGAAGACTTAGGAAGGAGCCCCTGGGCCCCACCCTGCTCTGAGGCCTTACCTGGAGAGCGGCTCGCCATGCCTTGGCTTTGGACGTCTGGGCTCCAGCGCGGAGAGTAAAATTCCGTTGTTTTAAGCTGCCCGATTTGTGGTGCTTGTTCAGCCCGCCCTGGCACACTCACTTGGTGTCTGGCTTCCCTCCCCGTGCGTGATGTGTTCCAGGGTCCCTGCCTGGTCATGAGTGTCAGAGCTGCCCCCCTTTTCCTGGCCAGTGATGTTCCCGGGGAGGGGGGGACTCACTGTGTTTATTTGAAGGGTATTTGAGTAGTTTTCTGTGGTTTCCTTAAAAGTAAACTCAGTAATATTTTTAAATGGAGTTTACTTAGAATAAAAATAATTGAATTGTGGAGATGAGGCCTGAGGCGCACAGTTGGGGTGGGGAGTCTCCGTCCTGGAGTGGGGGACCTGGGTCTCGCCCTTGTGTGCCTGGCTGTGTGAGCAGAGCCGGCCAACCCCTTGGGCTTCTGCTTCCACAGCTGTGAATCGCTCCTTCCCCTGTGACATCTGAGGCTCTGGGTCGCCTGGGTTTCTGCATGTGCAAAGGACAGTGGGATGCAAAGCCCTGGGGTGCGCTGGCAGTAAACCCCCAGTCGTTGCCCCCCAGCTCCACCCCACTCAGAGCCCTGCGGAGAAGGGTGAGCATGGCCACCCCACGCAGAGACCTGCATACACAGGGCCCCCCCCGGGTTGACGTATCTGTGGGGTGAAGTCCTAGGATTAGAGTCTCAGGGTCGAAGCTTGTGTGTCTTTTTCATTTTTGAAAATTGAGGTAAAAATCACATGACAAAATTAATCATTAATTAATTTAGCACAGTCACTGATGTGTGCAGTCGTTCACATTATTTAGTTCCAGAATATTCCAAACAAGCAGCCTCGTCCCCACCAGTGGGTGCTCCCACCCTCTCAGCCCTGGCAACCACCAGCCCTTTTCTGGTGGTGGATTTGCCTGTTCTGGATGATTCACGCCCGTGGGATCTTCTGATAGAAGCTCCATCTGTGTTTCCCTCCTGGCAGAGCAGGTGGGGAGGCACAGGCCTCTCAGGCCCTCTGGCCCCCACCGCCGCTAAAGGTTGTGCTGTGCTTCAGTGCCCGGGCATGTGCCTGAGTGGGGCTGCTGGACCCCAGAAGGAACCCCTCTGGGAAGGGCCAGGCAGTTTTGGGCTCTGCCGTACACAATCTGTCCTGCATGCCAGGCTCTGTGCTGAGCTGTGTGGGTACCCAAGTGGACAGGACAGTTCAGCACTCCTGTTTTGTGTCCTGGAAGAACGGAGAGCCAGCAGTGGGGTCGAGGGGGGCAATGCCATGGGGCCTGAAGGAAACAGCTCCCTTGGAACAACTTATGTGTGTGTGGGGGACCGTGAGGGGACCCGGGCAGCCCCTAACACTTGCTCTCTCCCCCCAGTACATGGGCTGCATTGAAGTCCTCCGCTCTATGCGCTCCTTGGATTTTAACACCCGCACCCAGGTCACCAGGTGAGCCTTCGCGTGGTTGCTGGGGCCTGGGTCTGTGGGTGGGTGGCCCGGCTCTGTCCTGGCTCTGGGATACTGGGTGAGGGGTGTGGGCAGTGGCTCGGAGCCAGAGTATGGCCGAGGCCAAGGGTGGCGCCTCTGACATGGTGTGTCCTGCCTCCCAGCCAGGGGACAGGTGCTGTGCCGGTGAGGGGGGCCAGGCTGCCCCGGCGCCAAGTCCAGCTCTGTCCCCATGACACGTGCTGCCCGCTTCACAGAGCCTGGGCCTTGCCAGATGTGCGGGTGTGGGTTTCTGGGGAGTGTCAGGGGTGCTGTGTGAAGGGGCTGCAGGTGCTGGCTGGTTTCTCCTGTGGCTCAGAGCACCAGGGGCTGGGAGCCCGTCCAGATTGGGGTGGCACCTCCGTGGTCCCTGTTTTTTGTTGTATTTTTTTCAGCACAGAGAAGACACACGGGTCTCATGTGTTCTGAGCTGTTTGTAAGGGACTTGTGCTCGGTGGGCACAGCCAGGGCATCAGCCAGAGGCCGACATCCTTTGCATGTGACACTGATTTAGTCCAGTCACTGTAGACATAAAAAACCCTCAAACTATTGAGATACAATTCACATACCAAATAATTCACCCACTTAAAGTATACAGTTTTATTTTTCTTTTTGGTATCTTCAGAGTTATGGAACCACTACCTAGTTCCAGAACATTCCATCCCTCCAAAAGGAAACCCCATTTCCATCAGCCATCATCCCTATCTCCTCCCTAACCCCTGGCACCACAAACCCTGCCCGTGGCTGTGCCTGTCCTGGATGTGTCTCGTTGGTGGCCTCACACCGCGTGGCCTTGTGTGTCTGCTTCTCTCCCTGAGCATTGTGTATTCAGCGGCGGTGGTAGCGAGTGTCAGAGCTGCCCCCTTTTTGTGGCCAGTGATGTCCCCATGTGGGGGACACTTTTGTTCACTGATGGACATCTAGGTGGCGTCCACGTCTTGGCCGTTATGGGTTGTGTGAGCTGGTTTTTCAGTGCCCTGGGGCACACGCCAGAGTAGGGCTGCTCCACCCCGTGTTTGAGGAGCTGCACCCCCTTTTTACCCTCCACCCACCAGGATTGAGGCTCTTGTTCCTCCCCAACATTTTGAGAACATGTTGCACAGATGGACCCCTTGGCTGGTGCCCCTGCCAGTGTGCAGAATGTGGGGTCCAGGCTCTGTAGGGTCCAGTCCCTTGAGTCTGACTCCATGTCAGGCACATGCTGGTGACCAAGAAAGACACAGGCAAAGGGAGAAACCGAGGGGGGAGTGCCCTCAGATGCAGATGGAGTGGGGGCTGGGTGAACCAGGAGCACCCATCATGCCTTTGGCTCCCTCCTGGCTCCAGGTATCCTAGCATCCCCCTCCTCTGAGCTCCTCCCCTTCTAGGGCCACTGCACCCTTTGCTCAGCGCCAAGGTCCCTGCTGTGCTGCTGCCCCCTCCCCTCTGACCTTAGACCGTTCCCACCACAGGGAAGCCATCAACCGGCTCCATGAGGCTGTGCCTGGTGTTCGGGGCTCCTGGAAGAAGAAGGTGGGTGAGGAGCTTGTGTCCCCCCAAGGGGTGGTGGGTATGATGGGAGGCTGTGGGAGGACACGAGGGCCAGAGGACCCTCTTCGGCCCCCACCCTCCCCAGTGCCGAGCACCCCACCTTGCAGCGCCCCCTCCCGCTGCCCTCTGCCCCCTCACCAGGCCCCCAACAAGGCGCTGGCGTCTGTCTTGGGCAAGAGCAACCTGCGCTTCGCTGGGATGAGCATAGCCATCAGCATCTCCATTGACGGCCTCAACCTCTCGGTGCCCGCCACTCGCCAGGTGAGCGTTGCCTCCCCACCCAGCCCCCCCCCCACAGGCAGCCCCGAGGACTCCCCCTGGAGGTGGCAGGTAGGTATGCGCACCAGGTGTGGACTGGTGTGACTGTGTGTGTGTAGAGGCCCCGCCCTGAGCCAGGAGCCTAGCGGCCGCCGCCCCCCAAAAACCCTACTGTTGTCATGACTTGGGGTGCTCTTGACATTGAAGGGGCAGGGCCAGTGATGCATCCACAAGCCCAGCGTGGGCCCCCACAGAGAAGGACCACTCCCCGATGTCAGCAATGCCTGGGACAGCCCCTGGTTTGGGATCTTATGTGGAAATAAAGAACCAAAATAGAATCACAGAAATGAGGGAATAATGGCAGACTCTGAGAAGCACTGGGAGGCCAGGAAGGGCCGCGTGGGAGGCCAGAGACTCTACGTGAGCATGCACAGGGCGCTGTGACCTGGCGGGCATCATGGCGGGCTTCCGGGAGGGGATGCTGGTGTGGAGGTGAGGAGCAAGCGTCCCGGGTGGCGGGCTGGTGTCTGAGAGCAGAGGGAGTGGCGCAGGAGAGTTATGGAGAAAAATGGTAAGGGACTGAAATTTGTCCAGGGCGCAAGGGGGAGAGGAGAGCGGAAGCCAGGCCCGGCAGGAGCCGTGGACCCTGGGTGCAGGCTGCGTGTGGCGGTTGCCATGTGTTCACGCCATCTTTGCATGCACTCTGCCAGGCACAGGAGTTGCTCGTCTGTCTGCAGACAGGAGGGCCCTCCCTGACTGGGGAGAGCCCAGAGGATCCTGTCGGGGAGACGGGCCGACCTTTTGGAGGGGAGCAGGAAGGGCCTGGTGCATCAACTCAGCCCTGGCCCTGGCCCTGGGCCTGGGGCGCTCTGAGCTCGTGGAGGAACAGCGGGGCTCAGGACTGCAGTGGGCAGTGTAAATGGGCACAAATGGGCATGCAAATGGGCACATAAACAAGTATGGGGGTGTGTATTTATGCATGCAAATGAGCATGTGACTGCATGTAGGCGAGTATGCAAAAGAGCAAAATAATGTCAGGAGACACGCAAATGAGTCTGTGAACGCAGATGAGCATGTGCAGGAGCCGCTCGAGGGAAACTGGCCTGCAGACGAGCATGCAGGGGCGGCCGGTGCCGCAGCCGGTGCCCGCAGCCCCCTGGAGTCCCCTCCTCATGGCCTCCACAACCATAGAGGCTGTGAGTGTGGTGTGAACCTGTGTGTGCAAGTGGGTGTGTGTGAGGTAGGTGTGCGGGTGTGGGGCTGTGCGGGTGTGCGTGTGCAGGTGTGCACGTCTGTGTGTGCTGCACCTGGGCATCCATGGCAGGCGTGAGGGCCGATGTGTGCTGTGTCGGGTGTGACGGCGGGCGTGGGTGGGTCTGAGCATCCGTGGGAGTGGTTGTCTCTGCATGTGATGTGTGAAAATCTGCACATGGGATTGTGTCTGCCAGTGAGGGGGTGTCTGAGTGTGTGCAGGGTGAGTTTGTGGGAGGATTTTGTTGTTTGTGTGTGTGCATTTCTGTGTCGGGGCGTGGCCACCGACGAGGGGCGCCTCTTCCTCACATGTTGGAGGCCATCGGCCGCTGCACACTGGCCTGGGCTGGGGGCTCCCGTCTGGCTGGACTCTAGGTCACTCCATTGCCCAGATCCTGTTCTTCCCAGTCCCCGCCCCGTGGCCCTGTCCAGCCACTGCCATGAACCCCAGCGTCCCCTCGACCCTGAAATGGGATCTCTTTCCTGCCAGATCATCGCCAACCACCACATGCAGTCCATCTCCTTCGCATCCGGCGGCGACACGGTAAGGCCAGGGCCTGGCGGGGCTCCCCGCCCTCTGTCCGCCCTGCTGGCGGGGCAGCCAGGAAGCCTGGAGGGGTGTTCCGCGCCGGCCCAGCCCCTCCCACCTGCCCGCTCTCTCCCCAGGACATGACCGATTACGTGGCCTATGTCGCCAAGGATCCCATCAATCAGAGAGGTGAGGCGCCGTGGGGGCCGGTGGGGTCCTGCAGGCTGGAGACTCTTGGCTGGCAGGGCCCACCGATCCACATAACGGGGTGCCCCTCCCCAGCCTGCCACATCCTGGAGTGCTGCGAGGGACTGGCGCAGAGCGTCATCAGCACCGTGGGCCAAGCCTTTGAGCTGCGCTTCAAGCAGTACCTGCACAGCCCCCCCAAGGTGGTGGTCCCTCTGGAAAGGTACCAGGCCCCCCCCTTCCCCACCTTCCCTGGGGGGAAGTGTGCCCTGGCCCTCACTCTCCACCTGGGGCTTGGCCTGCCCTCTTCTCTCTGGGTGTGTGGGCTCGCTGCCAGCTGCCAGAGTCCCCATGTCCTTATCAGTAAAGGGGAGTAAAGCAGCCCCCCCACCGCCCCGCATCTACAGAAGGGCATAGGCTATCTCCACTCACCTCCAAAGGGGGGCAGCAGACCCATCCCACAGGGGGGGGTTGGGGTTAAGGGATCCAGCTCCCCTGCCAGGGACATTTCTGTTGGCACCATCTAGACCTGGCCAGGTTGTGCCAGGGCCAGACGGTCCATAATTTCAGTTTTGTGCGTCAGACAACCCGTCTCGGCCACGGGGGCGGGAGCCACTGGAGCACGTCTGACAGGACGGGCAGGCTCTGTGCCAGCAGCCCTATCCAGACACACCAAAATGTGAATCTCGTGTGACTTTCACGTCTTGCCAAATGTTGTCCGTTGGATGTTTTTTTTTAACCATTTAAGAGTTTTATGGCTTAAAAATATGGAAGCCGTTCTTAACTCAAAAGCTGCTGACACGGGTAGTACCAGATGCGCTGGCCCCTGCCCTCGGCTACTGAAATACCTGTTGGTTGTTAAAGATTTGGATTTACACGGAAGGGACTGGAAGACGTGCACACCCCACAGAGCGGCGTGAGTGTGCCCGCTGCCTTTCGGTGGCGCCTGCCCGGGGAATTACTCATGTGGGTTTGCACCTGCCTTCGTCGGGCACCTGCTCTGCCTCGTACGGGCTGCGTGCCTGCCCCTGCGACCATGTCAGAGCCAGGACAGGCAGTGGCACCCGCACAGGGAGCCACACATGCCTGCACAAGCATCTGTAGGGTTTCATGGGGGCATCGCCGGGCCAGGCAGCAAGGGCGTTTACGATGCCACTGTAATCGCTGGCATCAGTTCCGGGTGCAAGCCTGGTGTCGTCCCTGGCAGGGCTAGAGCTAGGCAGGAAGAAGTGGGGTCTAGCTTTCCTGAGGCCCTGCTGTAGCCACTGCAGCAAGTGGACAGGAGGGCATGTCCAGGATCTCTGCCTGACTTGTCCCACTCACCTCAGAGCTCAAGCTGCAAGATTGGGTACCCCCTGGAAAGCCCCTCTTCTCTCTACCCCAAGTGCTGGGGCCCTGCCTGTGCTCCTGCTGTCTGTCTGTCTCCAGGCTGAGTGGGCCCGAGGAGTCAGCCTGGGGGGACGAGGAGGAGATGGAACACAATTACTACAACAGCATCCCGGGGAAGGAGCCGCCCCTGGGTGGGCTGGTGGACTCCAGGCTCGCCCTCACACAGCCCTGCGCCCTCGGGACCCTCGGCCAGGTTCGCCTCTTTCAGTCTTCTGGGACAGGGCCAGTGGCAGGTGCTGCCTCCTTAAACTGACCCCTAACTTTTCCTTTTGCCTCTGTTCTCGAAGCTAGAGGGTGGTCCCTCGCCCCACACCTTTTCCTTCCCTCTTTCCCAAACTGCACAATCCTCTGGACCTGTTCTAGATACTTTCGATTTAGATACTACAGCCCTTCCAAGGAAGGTACTGAGAATGCACTACAGAAGCTGATTGTGGTCAGGAGCACTTCTTTGAGAAGTGCCATTTGGAGTGGGCTCTGATGGGTGAATACAGGTTCCCAGGAGAACAATGCAAGGAATAGCATCCAGGCACAGGGAACAGCATGTGCCAGGTGCAGAAGGCCTTGAGGCTCAGCAGAGGTGGGTGGCGGGCATGCAAGCAGGCCCTAGCGGGCACAGGGACAGCTTGAGACCAAGGGGCAAGGGCAGGATTTAGAGATGAGCTTTCTGACACGTCTATAGCTATGTAGGAGGGTTTGGGTGGGGAGATGGGGTGCTCTGCTGCCAGTTGGGGCATGCACATCTCAGGAGACCTCTTGCTCTGTTTTTCAGGGAGCATTTTCTACTCGAAGAGATGCCCGAGGTCTGCAGTGGGACCTGGGCCCCTCAGGTATGGATAGGAGGCCCTCAGGTTATAGGGGGTGTCCAGCCTCTCCTCACTGGATCCTGGCCCTCTGCTGTGTGCCCTTCTCACTCACAGCACCGCTTCACACGATTGTGTTACTTCTCATATGAGGTTTGAGAATGTCAGTTTCAACAGGGTGTCTTTTCAATCTTGTATTTTCTTTCACCATGTAAGATTTTTTTTTTTTAACTTGAGGTCATCCCAGTTGTTTTTGTTTTCACTTCCCTTGCTCTAGGGGTCCAGGCTCCAAAAACATCTTCATCATTGATGTCATGGAATGTATTACTAATGTTCTCTTCATTTTATTGTTGTAGGTTTTATATCTAATTTTAAAAATCCATTTGGACTTTATTTTTGTGTAGGGAGTTAGCAAATATTTCAACTTCATTCTTTTATAAGTGGTTTTCTAATTTTCCCAGCACCATTTATGAAAGAGGTTGTGTGGCTGTTTGTCATAGAGCAGGTGCTGTTATGTGTATGGATTTATTACGGGGCTTTTGATTCTAGTCCATTGATCCAAATGTCAATTTTGGTGCCAATACCATCTTGTTTTTAGTTAAATTTGCTTTTTAGTTAAATTCAATGTCTGGTAACATGACACTTCTATTTTTCTCTCTTTTTCTCAGGATTGCTTTTGTAGTTTGAGGCCTTTGATTGTTCCATATAAATTTCAATATTTTTTGTCCAACCTCTTTGAAAAATATTGTTGGTATTTTGATGGAGATTGCATTAAATTTACATATAATTTTAGGCAGGATAGTCATTTTGATTATGTTGATTCTCCCCATCCATGAGCATGGGATATCCTTCCATGTCCTTAAGTCACTACCTAAGTCCTTTAATAACATATTATACTTCTTGCTGGATAAGTCCTTTACCACATTAGTTAGGTTAATTTTGAGGTATTTAATTCTTTTTGAAGACATTCTAAGTGGAATTATTATTTTTATTTCTTTTGTTCGTAGTTTGTATATAAAAAAGTGAAGTTTTGTGTATTGATTTGTAACCTGCTACTTTGCTGTATTCTTCTATCATTTCTAATAACTTTTTGATGACATCTGTAGGATTTTCTACATGTAATATCATTATCTATAGATACTGGTAGTTTTACTTCTTTTCCAACTTAGAGTCCCTTCATTTCCTGTTTTTGTCTGGCCTACACCCTTATTACCAAGTGAAACAGGAGTGGTGACACTGGGCATCTTATCTTATTCCTGATCTTAAGGGGGAAATTTTCAGTTTTTCACCTTTAAGTATTATGTTGGTTGTTGGTTTGTGATCTATGGCCTTTCTCATAGTGAAGAAAGGCCCTATCTTATTTAAAGTTGTTTAAAAATCATAAATGAGTGCTGGCTCTTATCCAATGCTTTCTCTGCATCTATTGATATTACCATATTATTACCTTAACTTTAGTTGACATGATGTAGCACATTGATTTATTCACATATATTAAACCATCCTTATATCCTGAAATAAATCCCACTTACTCATGGTATATAATCCTCATGATGTGATGTTGATTTTGATTTTCTCGATTTTTGCATTGATGTTCATTAGTTATGTTGATGTGTTGATGTAATTATCTTGTGCTGTCTTTATCTGGTCTCAGTAGTAGGGTAAGGTTGGCGTGTTGTAAAATGATTAAGGAAACTTCTCTCTGGTATTTTTTTCGTTGAGGCAACATTGGCTTACGGCACTGAATATGATGTAGAGGTACAGGGGCACACCCTTCTGGTGTATGTCCCCACACCACCCCCCGACGAAGGCACCCATAGTCCCCACCATGGCCCATGGTGATCACCCTCCACTCTGTTCCACCCCCACACCCCCCTCCGGCATTTGGATCCATAAATTTCTTCTGCACAAGAGCTGGGAGGAGGAAGGAGCTGCTCAGAGACCATCACTCTTATAGCAGCCCTGGGCACAGCAGGGCACCTTTACAGCTGGATTATGGAGATTTGCTCCCTCTCTAGGGTGAAATATTCCCTTGAGGCCTCAGGGTGCCCCGTGTTGTATTTTTCTGTCTCACCATCTTGTCGCTGTCCAGGTTGCTATTTTTTCCAAGTGTCCCAAGGGTGCAGAGGGTGCTGGATGTTGAGTTGGGTGGGGGTGAGGCCCGGAGGGTCCAGTCCCCGGTGAAACAGTGTGCAGACGTGGCTCGTGTGTGTGGCGCTGCTGGAAGCCCTCCTCTCAGGGGTTCCAGACCCTCGTCTCTGCAGCCTGGGTGGTCCTGCTGTTTTAAGGCTGAATAACAATCCAGCGTGTGGATGGACCACGCTGTGCGTGAGCACCGTGGATCGGTGGTGGGCCCTTGGGTGGCTTCGACCTCTGGCCTGCTGTGATTCATGCCACTGTGAACATGAGTGCTTTCACTTCTCTTGGGCACATACCCAGAAGTGGAATTGCTGGGTCATAGGGTAGTTCTGTGTTTAACCTTCTGAGGACTCTATCTTGATTTTTTGAAGGTGAGTCAGGCTGAAAACACAAAACTGTACTTTCTGCTTGTGTGCTGATCTCAGGCTAGTGGGCCTCTGCTTGTCACTCTACACTCGGTTACCCTCCCAGTCACCCTTTTGCCCTGGTTAGGGCTAGAGTGGGGTGGGGACATGCCCGTCATCCACAGGATATTGGTCTTTGGCTTTCCATCAGCCAGATGCACGCTTACTCACCTCCCCAGGGCCAGGGTCAGGGCCAGGGCCAGGGCTCAACTGGGCTCTTGCTGACCAGCACAATGTTCTTCCTCTCCCCTATATGATTTAGGCAGCTCTTACCTTTATACTGGTTGTCCTGTTCCTTTGTAATAACCCCTTTAAGACTTTCTTTTTTAACACGAGGCTTGATATTGAAAAATTCTTAGTTTTTACTTTTCAGTGATGCTCTTTGCTCTTTTTTAAAAAAAAAGATTTATTTTTATTTATTTATGCATACAAGAACGGGGGTGTAGGCCAGAGGTGTGGGGGTGGGGATCGAATTCAGGCTGCAGTAGCTGGCCATAGCTTGGTAGGCTGAGACTCAACCCCTGCGCCACCAGGGAGGCCCCTAGGCTCCTTATTTTTCTTTCTCTCTTGAGTGTTAATCTTTTTTTTTTTTTTTAAGATTTATTTATTTACTTAAGCATACAAGAACTGGGGTACAGGCCAGAGGTGTGGGGGGTGAGAAGATTCACCAGAGACAGAGTGGGGAACAGAACAGGCAGATCCACTGAAATCCACTGCTGAGGGGAGCAGCGGGGAGACAGGAGAGGTCTGCTGCGCCATGTGGGTAGCTCCCTGGCCAGGGATCAAACTCATCCAGCAGTGGCTGCAGATATCTTCATAGGTTGCTCATAGGTTACGTCTTAACCCCTTGCGCCACCAGGGAGGCCCTCTTGAATGTTAATCATGTAGGTCAAAGGCTTCTAGGTTGGAAATCTTTTTTGCTTTAAGTATTTTAAATATCTCTTGCTAGTCCCTTCATGCTAGTAATGTTTCTGTTGAAAAGGCTGCTGACAGTCTGACCGATGACCCATGTGGGTCACCCTTTTCTCTCTTGAAGTTTTTAGTGTTCTGTCTTTGTCATTGACTTTCAACAGCTTTATGATGGGATTATGTCTTTTTGCTATCTTTGGGCCTCCTGGATCACATCTGCTTCATTTTCCAGAATGAGATGGTTTTCAGCAATTTATTCTTTAAATAAAACGTCTGTGCCTTTGTCTTTCTCGTCTCTTGTCCTTCTGGGATCCCCTCATACGGATGCTATTTCTCTCTAGACTATCCCAAAGGGCTTTGAAACTATTTTCATGTTTAAAATTCTTTTCTTTCTTTGTTCTATTTGTGTGTGCTCTGACAGTGTGCGTTCGAGCTCATTAATTCTCTCCGTTGCCTGCATTTATCTGTTGATCTGTTTATCCGTGGAGGCCTTTTTGTATTTAAAAATTTGATTATAGTATTTCTTAGCTCCATTACTTCTTATTGTAACTGCCTCCTGTTCTCTGCACCCTTGCTCTGCCTGTTTCACAGCCTCCACAAGCCTTGCTGAAACCGCCGCCTTGAACGCCTCCATCATGTCTGGCGGTTCTGCTGGATTGAGATTCCCCTCAGGGCTTGATTTAGTTCTTTCTGCAACATTTATGGTGTGTTGTTCTGTCTCTTCATAAAAAATAGGTGTAATAAGCATAGACTTTCAGACTGTTGTCTTTGTACCTGTTGTAGTAATCGGAGACTCGGTACTGTCAAGAGGCAGTGGGTAAAAACGTCCCGGGGCTATTGGGCACGGAAGGGTCACCTTCAGCGAGTCAGGACTCACCCCCCCCCCCCCCCCGCTCCCCGGACGTGCTGAGGGTAACAGGGCCATGTGGGGAGCCCCAGTGCCCCCTGCTCTGGGCCAGCGCCTCAGTCTGGTGTCTCCTAGTCTTCTGTCTGCTTCCACTTAGGCCACTTTTGAGCACCAGGTCAGGACGGGGGACGGATTATAGCTGATACAGGGTCACAGGCTGGGACTTGTTCTCTTGTCTTTTCCAGCACAGAACCTCATCCTGGAGTTCTTTGCTCTCGGTAACAGGTGCTTTAATTCTGTTTTATGCAAGTGTTTGTTGCTTTGGTTTTAACCCTGAATTGGGGGTGGGGTGCAGGTGTTTTGAATAGCCCAGCCTCGCTTTGGCTTAGCGTAGTAGCCTCTTCTAGGAGGAGATCCAGGTGATCCAACCTGCGTTCCCCACAGTTCCGTCTCCAGATGTTCTATACTGGGAGCCTCAGGCTCAAGCCGGTAACTGTCACTCTGCACCCTGCTCCGGGAGTCCCCACCAGCGCCGCTCTGCCGGTTGCCCATGCACTCCTGAGCAGGCAGCACTGGGCCCCCGCGCTGCGAGTACACGGAGGAGTTGAGCCCAGTGTCTTCATGCTGGCTCTGTCTCACCAGACTCCCTAAATGGCCCTGTGCACTTTTGTTTATTTATTTAAAGATTTTTAATTAATTAATTAATTTATTTTTAAAGATTTATTTATTTGTTTATACAAGCACTGGGTACAGTCAGAAGCGCGGGAGGGTGAGAGAATTCACCAGAGCCAGAACGGGGAGCAGAGCAGGCAGAAGGACCAAAGTACACTGCTGAGGGGAGCAGCGGGCGGCAGGAGAGGTCTGCGCGCCATGTGGGACCCTCGCCTGGCGGCCGGGGATTGAACCGGCGCTGCAGAGGCTGTGGGCAGCTTCTCAATCCAGTGCTCAACCCGCTGCGCCACTGGGAAGGCCCTTAATTTATTTTTGTGTGGAAGAACTGGGTGCAGGCTGGTGGTGGGGGTGGTGAGGTGAGAGGACTCACCAGAGACAGTGGGGAGCAGAACAGGCAGATCTACTGAAATCCACTGCTGACGGGAGCAGAGGGGAGACAGGAGAGGTCTGCTGCGCCATGTGGGTAGCTCCCTGGCCGGGGATTGAACTCAGGCCGAGGCGGTGATAGTGCTGAGACTAACCCCTAGGCCACCAGGAAGGTCCCTGTGCAGGTTTGTTGTAACAGAATGACTGGGTTTTCTGCCCTGAGCACGCGTCCCGTTGTAGGTGGCTGAAGGCGGTTGAGAAGACCCAAGTCCCCTTGCCTCCAGCTCCCTGGCACTCCGCAGCGGCCAGGAGTGCCGCACCCCTGGCACTCTGAGTCTTTCTGCTTCCCCTCTCCTACCCATGGTGGCAGATGCCCCCTTGTGCCAGCACACATCCACCTGTGGAAGCCGAGTCCTGAAGTGCTGAGCAGGGAGCGCAGCCCTTGTCACATCACCAGACGCAGCTGGAACGCGCCTCCATGCGTGCTGCTCCCCCGCCAGCCTCTGCGGTCGTCTGCTCCCTCACAGCCTCGCAGACATCTGCGATGGGCTGTTTTTAGATCTCCCCAAATAATCCAGACATTGCACTGGTAGGCTGGGGCCTGTGCCATCTCTGCATGGAGTGTGAAGCCTGGGCAGGGTACCTCTGCCCTCGCCACTGGCCAGGGCAGGTCGGTGTTGGCGCTCCTGTGAATCATGACTTTGGCAAGTTGGGCTGGCTTTGGCCATGCAATATATAAAAAGATCATTATTTCCCTGCCAACGACTAAAAACAGACATTCATGGCTTCCCTGGTGGCGCAAGGGTTAAATCTCAGCACCATCAAGCTATCTGTGGCCTGAGTTCGATCCCCAGCCAAGGAGCTGACCCATGTGGTGCAGCAACCTCTCCTGCAACCTCTGCTGCTCCCCGCAGCAGTGTATTTCAGTAGATCTGCCTGTTCTGTTCCCCACTCTGTCTCTGGTGAATCTTCTCACCCCCCGCACCTCTGGCCTGCACCCGAGCCCTTACATGCATAAATAAATTGAAAATAAATTTTTTTTTTAAAGCTTGATTACATCTTAATGAATTCTTTTTTTTATTTATTTGTTTGTTTGTTCTGTTTATACAAGCACTGGGTACAGTCAGAAGCGCGGGAGGGTGAGAGAATTCACCAGAGCCAGAGCAGGGAGCAGAGCAGGCAGAGGGCCCGAAGCACACGGCTGAGGGGAGCAGCGGGAGGCAGGAGAGGTCTGCGCGCCATGTGGGACCCTCCTCCGGTGGCCGGGGAGCAGCTGGGGATCAAACCCGCGCCGCAGAGGCCGCGGTCAGCATCGCAACTCAGCGCTCAACCGCTGCGCCACCGGGGAGGCCCTGAAAATAAATTTTAAAACAAACACAACTGAGACATTCAGCAGTGGACAGTTCTGAGAAAGAGATACACAGATGCCCTCTGACTTAGGAGAACATGCACGGCATGCTCAAAATGAAGACCTGGAAATTAAATTACCCCACGTCGTCCCCATGTCACCAGTTCTCACCCCTGGGGCCAGCACATGGTGATGCGGGCTGAGGCGGGGCTGCAGGGGAGGCGTGGATCGGGCCCCGCAGCTTCTCACTGCGCTGGGGAGACGCCTCCTTTCTCAGGCTGCCTTTTGCGTAGTTGTGGCTTTTGAACCATGTAATGCTTTACACATTCAAAAGTAAAATTTGAAAATGAAAGAAAAGGAAACCTTAAAATAGACCGCAAACAGAAGCAAATGACTTATGCATCATGATGATAACATAATTATAGGGAGAACAGATTTAGTATTATATTTTAATGTGGAGATTTAATACAAACATTGGGCTTTCTGGCTTTTCTATTATTTATTTAAGATTATTTATTTATTTATACATGCACTGGGTACAGTCAGAAGTGCGGGAGGGTGAGAGAATTCACCAGAGCCAGAGCGGGGAGCAGAGCAGGCAGAAGGACCGAAGGACACTGCTGAGGGGAGCAGCGGGCGGCAGGAGAGGTCTGCGCACCATGTGGGACCCTCCTCCGGTGGCCGGGGAGCAGCCGGGGATCGAACCGGTGCCACAGAGGCCGCGGGCAGCTTCGCAACCCAGCGCTCAACCGCTGTGCCACCAGGGAGGCCCTTTCTGGCTTCTTTTGAAGCTAGAGCATTTTGGACTGCCTTCCGTCCCGTGGGTACACTGGGTGGGCACTGGCCCCTCCCTGGGTGTGGGCATCTGGTGCCCACAGTCCCTGGTTGGGCTTTTATAGGGTTTTTACTCCTGATGGCTGTGCACATGGGCAGGTGACTTCCTTCCTGGAGGGATGCAGGTGTGGAGGGGGCTCCCAGCTAGGGTCTTGCCCTCTGGGCCGCCTCCATCCCTGTGAGCCCCTTCCCTGGGCTCCCCTACTGACCCCACCATGCCTCCTGCCCTCTCCAGGTTCACTTGGGGACGGCTACGTGCAGGCAGATGCTGGAGGCCCCCAAGACTATGAGGACCACCTGTACGTCAACACGCAGGGTCTAGACGCCCCAGAGCCTCTGCAGCCCGAGGACAGCCCCAAGAAGGACCTGTTTGACATGCGTATGTAGCGGCCAGCCTGAGGGGAGGGCCTTGCCCTGGCCGCCCTGCGCTCTGAGGCCGAGCACCTTTGGGACTCTCCAGGTTGATGGGTGGGGGCGAGGGTAGGTGTTCCTCTGGGACTCCTAGTGTGATGGGGAGCTGGTGGCTCCCCTCCATGGGACACTCTAGTTTCCTGTGGGGAGCACAGTTTCCCTCTATGGGGGTCCACACCCCAGGGAGTCTGAACTGTGTTGCTCCACACCCCCATTTTATCATGAAGGGACTCAGGTGAGTGGTTTATCCGGTGTCCCATGGGTGCCTGTTGGGGCCTCAGAAACCTCCCCCAGCCAGAAGCTATTCAGAGTTTGTAAAGGAAAGGGCTGCCCCCCACCCCATGGAGCCTGGGGCTGGGGAGGGGGCGCTGGCCACTGCCAGGTGACAGAAAGGGAGGCACAAACGCTGGGGAGGCAGCCTGGGTGACAAGACAAGGAAGTGTGCACACAGCACACACACAGCACGCGCGGCACACCCAGCACACGCGCGGCACATGCAGCACAGGCGTGCAGCACAGGCGTGCAGCACAGGCGTGCAGCACAGGCGTGCAGCACAGGCGTGCAGCACAGGCGTGCAGCACAGGCGTGGCACATGCAGCATGCGGCCACACTGCACTGCTGAGGCCTGGCCGGAGGCACTGGCTGAGGTCCGGCAGCCGCTCTGGCTGCTGTTCAGTCCCCAGGGCGCGGCCTCACCGGCCTGCTCCCCGCCCGCCGTCTGCGTCCACAGGCCCCTTCGAGGACGCCCTGCGGCTGCACGAGTGCGCCTTGGCGGCAGGGCCGGCCCCGCCGCCCCCGGAGGACCGGTGGCCCAGTCCCCCCACGCGCCGAGCGCCCGTGGCCCCCACGGAGGAGCAGCTGCGCCGGGAGCCCTGGTACCACGGGCAGATGAGCCGCCGCGCGGCCGAGAAGCTGCTGCGCGCCGACGGGGACTTCCTCGTGCGGGACAGCGTCACCAACCCCGGGCAGTACGTGCTCACGGGCATGCACGCCGGGCAGCCCAAGCACCTGCTGCTGGTGGACCCCGAGGGCGTGGTAAGGGGCCGGGGGGCCGGGGGGGGGGTGTCTGGGGGCCGGGGGGCTGGGGGGGAGGGCAAGGAGGAAGGGGGACACCTCCTCTCCACCTGACCCGGGGACCTTCCCTGCGCCCCCCAGGTGTAGGAAGTGCGTTCCGGATTGAAAGCCTCTGTGTGCTCAGATTCTGTTCATTTTTTCCCCCAAGTATTTTAGAATCACAAAATATTTTGCAGTTTAAGAATCGTAGGGTTTACAAAGGATGTCCCTGTCTGTAAAGCACCCTGGGAGTTACAAAACCCTTTACAATTTCAAGATCTTTCAGGGTTTCCAAAGCACCCTGTTTTATCAGTTGTGAGCAGCACTGTTTTTCACGTTCTGTTTTCACTAATTCATCTTTAAAATAGCGATGTTTTCGAGTGACGAATGTGGTATTTTTGGTCCGGTGTAATTTAGGGTTCATGTTTCAATTTATGAGGATTTTTAGTCTATTGAATTGCTTCTCGTACAGACGTTAATTTGCTCTCCTTTTGACATCGCTGAAATCTGAATTTTTTTTTAACCATCCATTGCATCTTTGCGTCCTTACCTTGGGAGGATTTGTTTCCATCTTCCCATGGTAAATAAAACAGCAGTGCCTTTCACTGTTGCTTTGAGTCCAGCGATTTGGTATTCCCCAGTTCCTAAAGCATTTTAGGGTTTACAAAGCATTTTCCAATTTACAAGCAGATCGAGGCTTTATTGTGCATTTTCCAGCATCCAAGGGCTTTGGGCTTTGCATGTAATTTCTCAAGTGAGAAGGTGCTTGGGGCATTAGAGCCTTCCCAGAATCCACCCAGCCCTTTTATCTGTCCAACCGAATCCTCAGACCATCCTGGCACCGCCATGCTCCTTGTCTCTATGACAGCATGCTGGAGGTGGTGGTGGGGAGCTGCCATATTCTCCCCTGTGTCAAACTGCTGGTCTGACTCTGAGACTAGTCCTCCTGTCTGTTAAAGGGACCTCCAGGATGAGATCAGCAGCCCCTAAACTTGGAAGAGCTTCAGAACTTTCACGAAGGAGATTCCACAAAAAAATCTGATTAAATGCAGATTCCCAGGTCCCATCCCCAGTGCTATGGAATAGGTGATTTTGCCCTCTTGCCATTGGGTCCAGGCGTGTGCATTTTAGCCTGCTCCCCAGGTGGTTTGTGCCTGGGAGCCCAGCACCACCCTGCCCTGTCAGCTGCGGGGCAGAGCCTGCCTGCCCTGCACCCAGCTTTGGTACCTGGTGCTGCTAAGACCTTCTCGTTCTAGGACTCAGATGGTTTTTGGATTTGGGGACTCTGGTTTTCGGGTCTGTCTCCAGGAGCTCATGTGTATATTCATTTCTGGGGCCGCTGAGCTGCATAGCCACAAACTGGGCAGCTTCAAGCCACAGAGAGTGCTTTCCTCACAGGCCCGGTGGTCAGGCATCTGAAATCAAGGTGCCTGTGGCCTTGGGTCCTCTGGAGGCCCTGGTGGAGAATCTCTTCTGCACCTGCTCCCTAGTTCTGCAGGCCCCCCAATACTTGGTTGCTTCCTGCTCTGTTGACATCTCTCTCTAGCCTCCACCCGCTCTTCACAAGCCTCCTCCTGTGTCTTGTGTCCAGGTTTTTCTCTTCTTGTGAGGACGCGAGTCACCGGGTTTAGGGCTGCCTGGGTAATCCAGGATGAACTTGCGTCAGCACCTTCATCTCATCTGCAAGGATGCCTTTTCCAAACAGTCATCTTCGCAGGCGCAGGGACATGCCTTGGGGGCTGCCTTTCCCCCATTGCAGGAAGTGTGTCTCCAGAATCCCGGTGGTTGTGTGTCCATGCGTAGTTCTGGCGTACGAGGCTGACGCTGTCCTGTGGTTCTCTGGCCCAGCGGTTCTCAGGCTTGAGCAGGCATCCTGGTCCCCAGGAGGCCATGCAGATTTCAGGGCCGACTTGGCCTGCCTGCCCCGCCGCGGTGGTGCTGATGCTGGGGCTTCTGGTGCTGCAGGTGCGGACGAAGGACGTGCTGTTCCAGAGCATCAGCCACCTGATTGACTACCACCTGCAGAACGGGCAACCCATCGTGGCGGCGGAGAGCGAGCTGCACCTGCGTGGTGTGGTCAAGCGGGAGCCCTGAGCCAGGTGTGTAGGGGGCCCGTCTGCTCCGCACGCGCCCCTGTGCTGCACTTTTCCCATTTAAACAAATTTTATCTAGAACTCACTGACCATGGAAGTCACCCATGTAAAAGCAGCATCTCAGCAGTTTTTAGGACATTCACACAGTGGGCAACCATCCCCCTATGGAATTCCCAAATATTCCACCTTCCAAAAAAAGCCCCACCCCCATCAACAGTCACCCCTTCCCTCCCCAGCCCCTGGCATTGTGCACCCCCTCTCTGGCTGTGGCCGAGGCTGTCCTGGGCGTCTCTCATCAGTGGCCTCACACTGTGAGGCCTTGTGTGTCTGCTTCTCTCCCTGAGCGTTGTGTGTTCAGGGCCCCTCCCCATGGTCTTGAGGGTCAGAGCTGCCCCCCTTTTTATGCCGAGTGATGTTCCCACTGCGGGGACGGATGTGTTTTATCCATTCATCCTTGATGGACACTGGCTGTCCACGTTCTGGCCCTTGTGAGTGGTGCTTGCGGCCCTCGGTGGGCATGTGCCTGGGAGTGGAATTGCTGGGTGCTGCAGCAGCTGTTTCACTGCTGAAGCACATGGTCCCTGCTGGGAGGTGGGAGTAGTGAGGTATGTGGGGGCGCTGGAGCGGAGTAGGGAGGGTGGGCAGGTCTGTGGACTTAGGGCCTCTCCCTTGACAGGGAGGCTCTGAGGTGAGGAAGAGGGTGGCCAGGCAGGGGAGGGCTGGTGGAGCTGGGGTACAAAGGGGTGGGGGACCTGAGCAGACTGCGGGCTTACACTCTGGACTGGGCTTGGGGAAGGAGGGGCGGCAAGGGGAGCGGAGCTGTGGAATTTCCCCAAGGGCTGAGCCGGAGGAGCTTTTGGACCAGGTTGGGCTGCTCTCCTGTCCCCATGACAACACCTCCTTCCTGCTCCTCCCCCACTTAGGAGACCTGCTCTGGGGGCCAGGCCTCAGGCTGCAGGCAGAGAAGCAGTTCCCAGGGGTGGGGCCAGCTCTGGGACATCTGGAAGAATCTGCAGGATAGAGGGCCTTGTGTCTTACGTGGCAGGGTACAACCTGCCTTTTTTCACCCCCAAAGGGGTTTGCGGCCTGAGAGAGAAGCCTTGGCAGTAGTAATAGCTGCGCACGTCGTCACTGACACCCACAGGTGCTGAGCAGGTGCTGTAATTAGCACTCATTGCATGAAGGAAGAAACAGCACAGAGAGGTTAAGGCGTTAATCTAGGTCACGCAGCGAAACACTAGGAACTGGGACTGAACTGCTGGCCCGACAGCGTGAGGCCCCTTGCTCGACTGCTGTGCGAGTCACCGAGGTCTGGAGCACTGACTGGGGCTCAGTTCCCGGGCTGGTGTCTGGCTGACCCTTGACAGCTTCTTCCTTTCTCTCCCAGGTGATGGTTCTCAGCCCCACTCCTATCCCGCTCCCCAGACGCCCTGTCGTGGCCTTCTCTGGACCCCCGCCAGGTGCTCAGGCCTGAACCACTGCTGTCTCTCCTTCCTCTGCATGGGTCTCCAGAATCTCTTCCTCCAGCCAGCCCTGGCTGGGCTGGTCAGTCAGGCCCGGGTACGGGGCCCAAGACCCTTGCCTGCCTCCACCCTGTGCCTGGAGTGAGGGTGTACATACCAAAGACAGAACCTTTTTTTGCCTTTATGAAAATGTATCAAAAATCAGTCTCTGTCTGGGAGCCCGTGCTGAGGCCCATGATGGGCGAGGAGCCTGGTCCTGGCTGCACCCGGGCTTGGGTCCCGGAGAGCGAAGCCCCAGGCCTGGGCCTGCAGTCGGGGTCCCGTCCTCCCCGGGCTCAGTTCTTCCTCCTGAAACATTGGTGCACAGTTGTCTTTTTTGGGGAGAACTGAGGTGCTCTGGGGTCCTTGGTCCAAGGCCCGCACTGACATTGAAGTGGGGGGCCCACCTGGGGTAATGGGGAACATCCAGGCACCTCCAAGACACTTGGTCTTGGGGGTGGGGGCTGCTGTCCCAGCTGGGAGCCTGGCCTGGAGGTGTGGAGTCTGCTCATATCTAAACCCGGGGTGGCCGTGGGAGAGTGACCCCACCTGCTCATGAAGGGGCCCTCTCGGGCTAGGAGGCCGGGGCCAGTCTCCCAGGAGGAAAACCAAGATGGCAATGGATTTGGCCTCCCTGGCGCTAGAGGGGTGGAGGGCCCAGGGCCTGGAGATAGAGCGGAGGGAGCCTGCCTGGGACGTGCCGTTGGGGGAGCTCGTGGGGGCTCCACTCTCTCCTGAATCCCAACATCTCTTAGATACCTCTGTTTACAGCTAAGATAAAGCACACCCCAACCTCTCTTTGCAAACACCCTAGTTTGTCTCCCAAGTGCTACATGCCTTTCTCTTAAAGATCGCCCAGCATACCTGGCTGAAAACCCATTTTCTTCACCAAATTGCTCCCAACTTAGCCCTAAATGAGCTCCTACTTCTCAGGTACCCCTGCTCTCTTCGACCTCCGACTCCCTCAGAGCCCCTTCTTCTCTCTGATGCCCAGCTCTGTTCTCAAGGACCTGGACCTTCCCTCACGTTATTTCTGAGACTCCTTTTCAGGGAGACCCCACCGCTCCCCAGGAACCTCCTCTGACTCCCCCCAAAAGGGTCTTCTACCCCTGCCAAGGCCCTGCCTGGTCCCCGACTGTCAGGGCTGAGGGCCGAGGCTGTCGGAGGCTGGGGTCCCTGGGATGAGACTGTAGCTTCTCTGCGGTCAGCCTGGTCTACCCCATGACCTGGAGGGGGTGCTGGAAAGGCTGTGGCGAATAAAAGCCACCCTGGCCTGCCTCTAATGAGTGGTGAAGCCATCACAAGGCAGAGCCGGAAGGGGGCTCTGATGTCATGTCTCTTGCTGCAGAGACACGGAGACTGAGAGCCGCGGGTCTGTCCTTCCAAATGCCATGCGCCCGTCCACTTACCCAGCTGTCCACTCGACTACTCCCTCGTCATCCACTACCCGCCCCCATCCGTCCACACTCCCCCGTACTCGCCCCCATCATTCATTCCACGTGCCCACACCTCCCCACTGCAACCTCCTCCAGCATCCTGCTTCCACTCCTCGTGTGTGCCGGGACGCCTGGTGGGAAGTGGGGGTGCAACAGTGGCCACGACAGACCTGCCCTCGCGGAGTTAATAGTCAAGTAACATTAGTCAGCAAGTCACCGCTCAGTGTATGACAAGTGTGCAGAGAGAAGGCTGGAACTCCGCAGTCCCGGAAATCCAGAAGGTTCTCTGTGGGGGTGAGAGAGCGAGCCCTGGGTGAGGAGAACGTTCTGGGCAGAAGGAACTGCACATGCACATGCACTGTGGCGTGCGGGGCACAGCCCGTTGAGGGTACTCGGGAGGGCAGTGTGGCTGAGGTGAGATGGGGGTGGGTGGGGGGCACGGCTGGGGTGAAGCCGTGGGGTCCTACTGGGCCTTTTAGTCGTAGAGGTGATATATTCCCAAGCGGGAAACACAGTGTTGGGGGCAGGGTCGGAATGGGGGCTGGCTTCCAGGGAGTGCCAGATTCCAGAGAATTGCAGGTCCAGAGCTGTACCTAGAAGCACTGCATCATCCGGTGCATTCACGGCCTGGTCCTCCCAGCTAGTGGGGGGGGCCCTCTCACAGTGGGGGGGGGAGGCCCCTACACCTGTCTTCTGGCCCGTTCTATCTTCAGTTGTTCAGCCAAGAAATCCATGGCCGCACCGCCCCCGCCTCCACCCCCCCTCCCACCCCCGAGTGGGTCTGCACAGAGTGTGTGGGCTGGGGTGTCCCTGGGACTCCGCTGGGGCAAGTGGCTGGGCACTGCCCTTGGCAGTTCTCACACACACGTCCACCTGTGCCTCAGCTGGAAAGCAGAGATGAGGCCTCCCCTTCTAGCAAGTTAACCTGTGACTGGTGGGGTCTGGGTCCCTACCGGGAGCCCCACTCTTTTCCAGGGGCGAAGATAGACCTTGAGGGAAAGCCCCCATGCCCAGAGCCGCATAGGCCGTGCGTTTGGAGCTTGAACCTCGGGCCCTTTTACTCTGAGACACTTCCCTGTACGTCGTCTCTCCCAGGGCAAACTAAAGCTCTGGCCCGGCTTCTGGGCGGCACCCTGTCCCGCCCCCCCTCCCTGGCACCCTCCATTTCCCCTCCCAGCGGGTCTCTTGGGGGGGCAGTGGAGGACTCAGGCCACCCAATGTGAGGTGGGGCTACTCAGAGCAGGGGGGCCGGCGAGTACATCCTGGTTGGCCTCCCTGTGGCGGCGGCGCTGCAGCCAGCCTGCCACCTGTGATCCCAGAAGGCCACAGTGCCCGTGGGGGGCTGGCAGTGCCGAGTACAGCAGGAGCTTTTGTTAGCCAGGAGAGGTTCCTGTGCCAGCTGGAAGGCGCCTCCCTGCCTCACCCCTTCCGTGGCCGCGGGGTCAGGCAGGACTCTGAGGTTTGCTTCAAAGCCTGTCAAGTCCCGCCCACCGCAGCCCCTCTCCTGGCTGGCAGCAGTGTCCGTAAGATGACAGGTGACACACCTGCTTTTCAGCTAGTAGCCTGTTGCATCCTCACTCTGACTTGACGCAGGGAGAGTTTTTATGCCCACGGACAGGAGGAGACACACACAAGTCCCCGCAGGAAGTGCTGGCATTAGGGTTTCAACCCAGACAGGCAACCCCAGATTAGTGTCCTGGTTTTCTTAGCCCAGGGACTGGAGGGGACCTCCCACCTCCTCCCAAACCCTACTGGGAGGAGAGGCGCCCCTGCAGCTGCCCTGGGGGAGCGATATGAGCCCCATCCCAGGCCTGGCCTGGGGTCACTCCCCCCACCTCTCAGGCTCAGTGCTCACTCCTCTTTCCTGGGTCCACTGTCCTGCCATGCAATGGAGGAAGGCGCCTGGTGGCCCTCAGCTCCCCCCCCCACCCCATTCCAGGACTCGCCTTCCCTTTATAGTGCTTATCTGTCCATGTGTTTGGCACGTATTTATTAAAGACCCCGCGTCCTGGGGACACTGCAGGGGTCACATCACCGCGACCTTTCCTCTGGGACAAGTAGCTGCTCGAGAATGTTCTTTATGGAACTGATGTGGGGATTCAGGGGACTCTCAGGTTATGATGTGGGCCAGCCCAGGCTTGCAAGTCTGCAAGTTGGGTGGGCTTCCTGCAGGTGGCAGCGAGTGACATGTTCTTTGACATGGGCTTCCCCCGTGCTCTCCACCCCAGTGCTGCCCCCAGGACAGAGAGAGAGGGGCTAGAATCTGCTGGCTGAGCAAAGCTGGGACGGGCCTTTTGGGTGAGTCATGGCCCCCTCTGAGCTGAGCTCTCGCAACTGGACAATGGGACGCTCCACTACGCCTTACTCCTAGTGCAAGAGGAGGGCTTGGAGGGGAGAGGCCTTCCTGGGGCCCACCTCCCCCTTCCCTCTCTCTCTGCTGTTGACCCAGGGGCCACCCCAGACCAGCGCCGTGCCTGATGGGACCATGACAAGGCTCAGGATATTCTCAGAACACAGGAGGCTTGTTGGACAATTGTAATTTCATAAAGCAAGGGGTTGGCCCGCCCCAGGGTAGCCCTGGAGCTACATTATCTTGTTGGCATCTCGCAAACTGAGACTGGATTCAGGGCTGATGGGCTTTGGGTCCCAGAAGGGGAACATTGAGGCTGGGAGGGTAAGCAAGGAGTGAGGGAGCAGGGAGTTGGGGCTGGCAGGATAGGTGGAATAGGGGGACCCCTGTGGAGCTGGGGGATGGGTAGGGCCAGGCCTGGTCTTGCTGCCCTCTGTTCACCTATGAGCCACAGGCTGGCACCTTCTCCCCCATCACATGCTATATTGTCAGGGGAGCCCCACACCTGCAGTGTACCCCCCCCCCCCGCTGGCACCCCTCCGCTGGCGATGCACCACAAGCGGGATGCTGTGTCCCTGGTTGCGGCTGAGCCCTGGAACCCGGATCCGTGTCCCCATCTAGGAGACGCTCCAGGGAGGCAGTGGCCCCTCCTGGCTTTGCTAAGTGGCTGCCCGTTAACCAGCAACCACCTTAGCGCACTTCCAGAAGGGAAGGAAACCATCTGCACAGCGGCCGGGCCAGTGGCACCTGCCCCTTGGTGGTGTGGACTTCAGATATGGGGGAAGGACCTTGAGTCCTGAAAGCGCTCAATAAATTCAGTTGTGGCTGTTACTACCGCTGTGATTTTATTCGTCCTCGCTAGTCGTGAAGGTTGCTCGCCAGGGACGCGGATCTGCGCCCCTCGCCGGGGAACCGAGGCAGAGATTTGGGGTTCCCAGGGGCCCAGCCTCCCGCGACCCTCAGACTTGAATGACAGAGGGGTCGGCAAGCGGCCAAACCCCTGCTTCTCCCCGCCTTCCCCCTCGGTCCCGGGGTCCCCAGGGCCAGCGGGCGCCGCCCCCCAGGACTGCGGGGAGCGGCCGGGCTCGGCGGGGGCGGCGCGGGCGGCAGTACTCGGAGGATTACGGCGGCGGGGCTGGGCGGTTTCCCGCCGCCGCCGGTGAATGAGCCCGACTGCGCGGCGCCGAGTGGAAGCTCCGGCCGCGTCCAGGTGCCGAGACCGCGCGTGTCCGTGTCCACGGGACAGCCCGGCCCGCGCACTCCCGGCGGCGCAGCACCCGCGGGCAGGTGAGTGCAGGCGCCCGCCAGGTTCCGCGAGGGCCACCAGGACCCCGTCTTCACCCCAAGCGGAGCTGGGGGATGGGGGACAGAAGGGGGAGGGGTCAGCTCGCTGGCCTGCCAGCCCCCCACCTCCGCTGCTTTCCCTTCCCCGGCCGGAACGCCGGAGCCCTGTGCCCTGGGAGAAGCCACAGGTGGGTGGGAGCTTGGGGGAGGGCGGAACTGGGACTCTGGGAAGGGGGTCCACCCACCCCCTGGGGTGCCTCCCCTCTGGACCGAGGTAGAAGCCTTTAGAAAGCGCTTTGAGATCCTCAAAAGGTGGATGGGGGCCAGAGGGGCCGCTGTTCCCTGGGGGCCCCCAAGAGTCAGGATGACCCCCCAGCTCCCTAGGCTTTGGTGCAGGGAAGCTAAGGGGACCCCCCTGGGGGGCTAAGCCCACCCCAACCCCATCTGGGGCTACGGGGTGACTCAGCTGGCCTTGTGTCCAGGTAACTTCCATAAACAGGTACGGGGACCTCCTCTTGCCCCCCCCCCAAACATGAGGGCCTGCAGCTGCTGACCCCTGCTTCTCTTCTCAGACGCTGCAGAGGCCCCCTGGCCACCTCCTGCCGCCCCCATGAAGAAAACCAACATGTGGTTCTTGGATCGGCTGCGGGTGTCTGGGGAAAATAGTGCCGCAGGAGGCGAGGGGGGAGACAAGGCCTCCAAGGGGCCCCTGTACAGCAACGTGCTCACCCCGGACAAGATCCCCGACTTCTTCATCCCTCCCAAGCTGCCGGTGGGACCCCCAGAGACGGAGGGGCAGGCCGAGGGGGGTCCATCCGCAGCAGAGCCGGAGCCGGGCCCGGCCCCGGCCTCCCCCCGGCGAGCCCCATGGAGCCCCCGGCTCCCCGCCAAGCTGGCGGCCGAGAGCAAGAACTTGCTGAAGGCCGCGACCCGGCACGTGATCCAGATTGAGAGCGCCGAGGACTGGCCAGCAGAGGAAGCCTCGGCGACCGACTCCCTGGCGGTGGGCGCCATGTCCCTGCCCTCAGTGCCCAAGGCCCAGACGGCCTACGGCTTCGCCACCCTGGCTGAGAGCCCGCACACGCGGCGCAAGGAGTCCCTGTTCCACAGCGAGCACGGGGCCCTGTCCCAGGTCGGCTCCCCGGGTGCTGGGCGCCGCCAGGCGGGCGCCAAGGCCAACGGGGGTGACGGGGCATCCAGAGAGGCCAGCGGGGCGCTCATGAGCCCCAGCCGCTACTTCAGTGGCGGGGAGAGCGACACGGGGTCCTCCGCTGAGTCTTCCCCATTCGGGTCCCCCCTACTCTCACGGTCCATGTCGCTGCTCAAAGGCTTCGCCCAGGACAGCCAGGCCAAGGTGAGCCAGCTCAAGCACTCGGTGGGCCGGCACGGCTCGCTGTCTGCAGATGACAGCACGCCCGACACCAGCCCTGGCACCCGGCGGCGCCTGCCCCGCCGGCCCACCCCAGAGCCAGGCCCCGAGCCGGGCCTGGCGCCCCGCGCGGAGCACGCCGTGCGCATGGGCCTGCGGGGCAGTGTGCGGCTGCTGGCCGAGTATGAGGCGGCCCAGGCCCGCCTGCGGGTGCGGCTGCTGGCCGCCGAGGGCCTGTATGACCGGCTCTGCGACGCGCGCAGCATCAACTGCTGCGTGGGCCTGTGCCTGGTGCCCGGGAAGCTGCAGAAGCAGCGCAGCACCATCATCAAGAACAGCCGCCACCCCGTCTTCAACGAGGACTTCTTCTTCGACGGCCTGGGGCCCGCCAGCGTCCGGAAGCTGGCCCTCAGGATCAAGGTGGTCAACAAGGGCAGCAGCCTCAAGCGGGACACGCTGCTGGCCGAGAAGGAGTTGCCCCTGACTTCCCTGCTCCCCTTCTTGTGAAGCCCTGCCCTCCCTGCGCAAGGAAGACCCCACCTCCCCTCCCCACCTGGGCCCTGACAGCAGGAGGCCCCTGGCCCCTGGCCCGGGGAGGCCCCGGAGGGAGGCGGGGAGGGAGGCCACTGCGCTGCGGCTGGGCCAGGATGCTGCCCTGGAGCTGGCAGTGGATATTGTTTTTCACGGATTGATTTTTTTTCAGGGCAGCCGAGAGGGGCCACCTTGCAGGGCTGTCTCTCTCCCCCCTCCTGCTACCCATCCCTGAGGTCCACACACCTCGATGCCACCCCGTCCCTCTCGGACAGAAGTGTCCGGGAACCCCTGCCAGGGGGCGGCCAGATGGCTGAGAGGCTCCTGAGGAGAGCGGTGCAGGCCTGGCTCCTGCCAGCGGGGCCCGTGGGACTGCAGCCTCCCAGCAGGCTGGCTCTGGGCAGCCCCTGTCCTTCCAGGGTCCAAAGTGGGAGTGGGTAGGGGGGCTGGGGTGCCCAGGGCTGAGGAGGGTTGGGCCCTGGCAGTGGAGGGTCCCAGGAGAGGAAGCAGGGCGATGCTTCCCGTCCCTCCAGGGAGACGGCCCTCCCGCACTTTGCCTCCCACCCTTTCTCAGTTTGCTGTTTCCGGCCAGGCCTGGCAGCCCCCGCACCTGCTGTGACCCCATGGAGGGGGCGGCTGAGAAGAGGCCAGAGAGCTGCCCCTCAGTCTCTTTGCAGCTGGGCCTGCTGCCCCTGTCACCTGCCCTGTGGCGCCCTTGGCAGCTGGATGCCGGGGGTGGAGTGGGAGGGGGGTGGCCCAAATGACCGAGCCTGTGGTGTTTACTCCACGTGTGTAAATAGATTTTGCTTCGGTGGGTGGGGCAGAGGAGCAGGCAGTGGGCACCGCTGGGCTGGGCAGGGCAGCTTTCAGTGTGTGGGTTCTCGAGTGGCTTTTGTGGAGTTTCCCAGCTTCCTGAAATGGATACGCCGCTGGGGGCAGGGGCCAGCCCAGGCCAGCCCCTCCACCTCTCCCGGGTGCCTGCGGGGCAGGGGTGGGCCGGAGAAGTCCACCGGGCCTCGGCGTGCCCCTCCCTGTCCAAGTACTGTCCCTCCTGCGCTCGGTTTCCACATCCCACGGTGGGGTCCACCCCCGCCAGGCAGGGGGAGGCACGTGTCCCCTTCTGCCCGTGCGCATCCGGTGAGAAACCAGCACAACCTGGGGATTGAGGTTGAGGGGCTGGGAGCTGGGGTGCCTTGCTGCACCCTTGCCGGCCTCCATCCTGCTCCTTCTTGCTCCCTGCTCCTGGGGTCTTGGGACTCCTCCTTCACTCTGGAATGGGGGACCAGCCAGGGTCAGGCCTGTGGGCTGGAAGAGGCGTGGATGGCTCCGGGTGGTCTGCGGGCCCCTCTGCTCTCCCACCCGACCTCTCCAGGCCCTGGTGTCCTTCCGGGGCCCACATTTTCTATTCCCTGCACTGTTTGATGTCTTTGTGTTTGAAGTTGACTGTGGGTAAATCTTTAAGAAACCCTCCCCCAAGTGTGTTTGTTTATAAATGCTGTTTTTAGTGCAATAAAGGTGTTTCAAGAACGCGGGGGTGGAGATCTGCCTGCCTTGCTGTTTAATAACAAGAGAAGAATTCTGCCTTGAATTCCAGGAGGATGGCGGGAGCCTTGAGGATGGCAGCGGCCCTCCCCCAACCCTTTGGAGCCCTCCAGCTTGCCCTCCTGCCCGGGGGTGGAGGCAGGGAAGCGAGATTCCAGCAGGTAGTGACGCTGCCCCCGCCCCCCATGACAATGACAGCCCTTGTCAGTAGGCCCGAGGGCATCTGTGCCCCACTCTGAGGGAATCCGGGGCTTCAGAAACTGGCCCCAGATGGCCCAGCTATGGAGAGCCAGGACAGGGGCCAGTGAGGTCCGGTCTGCCCCATTTGAGCTCTAGGTACTTGGAGCCAAGATTGGCCAGGCGGTGCCATCACCGTGGCCTCCCCTCTCTCTCCCGGAGAGCCTGCGCTGCCAGCCGGCCCGGGTCCCCAGGCGGTCGCCCGGCGGGAATCTGAGCCCAAGCGCATCAGCCAGGAGGGGAGCGCCTGCCCTCGTCACAGAACTTGGAGACCCCTGGGCCAGGGCAGCAGCGAGAGTCCTGGAGGCCTCCTGTTCGCAGCCGCTCCGTGGTCAGGGAGAGGAGCCTCTTCCCCGTGCGCCCGTGTCCTCCGGGGCTAGCAGAGCCTCCGGGCTCGGCCTGCACCTGGCACGAGGGTCGGTGCGGGTTTTTCGTGGCTGAAGGTGTCCCTGCCTCCGGCACTGCACCCAGGAGGCCCGGGCCGGCAGGGGAATAAATGGGAGGCCTGGGCGTCTCCATCTCTGGGCTCCCGCGTGGCTTCTGGGGAACCCGGAAGGCAGCCGTGGAGGGCGAGGGTCTCACACGCCTCCTCGCACCCCCACCGGCGCCCGCGTCTTAAGGAACTAGTCTGGCTGCTATTTTCGGTTGCTTTTCTGACCCGGCCTGTTTGCGTTGCCCTGGAGTGGGTGCGGTGAGCCCAGAAGAGCCCTTGACCTGGTGGAGGCAGGCCGGGAGGGGGTGCGCGCTGGGGGGCCCGGTGGCAGGGACCGCCACCTGTGTGAGCAGGAAAGGGCGCTGTGAGGAGGAGGGGGGGCGGGGAGGGGCGGGGGGGGGCTTCCCCCGGGAGTCGGAGCTCGGCCGGCAGGCCCCGTTCCTGCAGATTCAGCTCTGTCTGACAGGCAGGGAAACTGACGCCCGAGAAGTGCGTGCTGCCAGCCTCGCCCTCGCTGGCTTGTTCTACGGGGATGTGTCAGTTCCTCCTCGGTGCCCACTCGGGGGAAAGAGGCAAGGCTGGAAAAGGCAGCAGTTCCCAGGCAACAGTTCCCTCGTCTCCCAGACGGGGACTCTCAGGGACGCTGGGAATCAGGCACAGAATCATGCCATCCGGTCTGGGATGAAATTTCCGCAGCTGGGAAGACACGGAGGAGTCTCTGAGGCGAGTTTGCTCTTCCAGGGCCTGCACGGCCAAAGCCCCGTGGGGCCTTCACTGCACAGTGCCCAAAGCCCGCCCTGGGGCTCTCCCAGCCATAGGCCAGCACCAGCCGTGCAGGGCTGGCAGGACCAGGTGGCCCCTGCTGGACTGGGTAGCCTCCCGGAAGGGCAGACACAGCTGGGTATTTAGTCACTCTGCCGACGGGCATTGATTGAGCTCCTGCTGTATGCCGGAAACAAGACCCCCTTGGAAGCCTCACAAAAGCCCAAACAGGAAGCCCCTAGTCACGGGAGGAGCCAGGCTGGGGGTCTGGACGTAGCCCTACTGTGCACAGCTGCTGTCCCTTGCCTGCGCCTGCCGTTGTCCCCTGGCTTCTGCCTCCCAGCCTCCAGAGTGTGCCTGCTTCATGCCAAGGGGCAGAGGGCACTCAGCAAGGAGCTGGCCTCGAACTCACACCCCAGGATGGGAGTGCGGGCAAGACTGGGTGCTTCCCCTGGGGCCCACACTGTAGCTGGGTTTCTCCAGGACCGTGAATGCCCTGCCCCCCAGGGCAGAGCCTTGTCTCTCCCCAGGGACTCCAGGACTGAGCTGTGTCTCCCCCTCACACATGGCAGGGCAGGGGCCCCCGTTCAGGGCCTGGCTCCTGATCTGACCCGAGCCCGACACCTTCCTTTGTCCTCTTCTCCATGGGGCTTTGGTGGTCGGGGCCCTCAGGAAGCCACCAGGAGGCTTTGTGTGGGGTTGGGGTCCTGCACGACCTTCCAGCCCTGGCAGTCTGCCAGACGAGTTCCGCTAACAAGGCCTGGTCAGGGCCCAGGATGTGTTGCCAGGACAACCGGGCGCCTTCTCACTCCCCCCGTCACTAGCTGCCAGGCGGCCTGAGTGCATGCGGGTCCCGTGTGTGCCTGCACATAACCACGTGCCTCCGTGTGCACGCATGTGTGGGGTTGGTGTGGCTGTGTGTATGAGTGCAGTCGTGTGTGTGTGTGTGTGTGTGTGTGTGTGTGTATCAGTGAGGGCACATCCACACACGAGTGCAAGCATGTAGTATAGAGCATGCGTGGGACACATGCCTGAGTTTCTGGGTGTGCACCCATGTGCCTGCGATCTCACGCTGCCAGGTCTCAGCCTGCAGCCTCTCCTGAGGGCAACCCCTCCCCCACCCCGACAAAATCAGGCCCCTTTTATATTCCCTGCTGGTGTTATATGCCACTTTTCACGTGGATGCAATCAGATTGATCTGTTGCTTGCACCCAAGGCATCCCAGCTGAGGTTGGGTCGTTAGCAAATGAAGGAAGTGCCAGCAATTTCTCCTTCTGGCCCAGATGCCCTCCCTAGTTTCCCTATACTCAGGAGGACCCTGAGCCCACTTATTGTGGGCACCTAACATGGTGCAAATCACAAATTCGTGCTCCTTTCTCAGGCTGGAGCTGGCACAAGGAGCAGCAGTCAAAAATGAGGATTTAGGTGCCTGGTGGCCTGTGGACACCTGGATTCAGCTGTGCCTGAATCCCATGCCATGCACCATTTTAGTTCTGTGCTGTCAGAGAACACTGATACAGCAAGTCTTCAATCTGAGGAGGGAGGAACAGCTAGGGGTGCCCTAGTCTGACACGGAAAAGGGACGACACCTTGAAGGCGTGGGTTTGTGCATGCACAGAACTGGGAAGGTGCCCCGAGTGAGGCTGCAAGCTTCCTGCCAGGGGATTGACCACGATGGGCATTGCAGAGGAGCAGAACCTGAACCACGAGGACACAGGTGGCAGGGACATTCCCAACGTAGAGGGAAGAGGCCCAGGGTCCAGCTGGCTGCAGCCCTCCACCCCAGCCTCAGCCACACGCCGTCCCAGCCTGTCCCTGCCTTCCCCACTACCCTGCCCTGACCTCCTGTGGCTCGCCAGTCCCTTTCCTTGGCATCGGAGGCTCACCTTGGCAACCCATGAGCCTCCCGGGCCCTGGCACAACTACCTCCCTGGCATCTCCATTTCTGAGGCCCTGAATCCCAACCTGCAAGGAGCATCTGTGATGGAATCACAGCCCCGATTGCCCCATGACAGGCATGCCCTGGGGCAGCTTGGCTCCCACACGGAATGGAACGCTGGGCTGGGAGGCTGGGAGCTCCTGCGTGGAAGGGCCCAGTGCACAGCTGTGTTCCCCGAGGCTGAGGCCGCACAGCATAGCGGTGCTAATTAATATAATCACATTAGGGTGATAATTATAGGCTACCCTCAGCCCCACCGAGTCCAGGCGGGTCTCCCTTGGCCTCTCCGGCCTGCACCTGCCCCCCTTCCCCAGAGTGGGATTTAATTAAGCTTTTGTTTTCTTCTCAGCTCCACTGCCAGCCGAGGGCGGGGCGCCCGCTCCGCTGGCAGTCAGAGAAAAATGACTTCAATAAAAAAGGAAGCCTGAGACGGAGCAGGCCTGGGCACACCCCCAGAGAACAGCTGACTCCCCTCTCCCTGCCCCGCGCCCCCGAGGTTAGACTCAGGCACTGGTCTGGCTGCAAAGGCTGGAGCTCTGGCTTGGCTGCTCACAAACAGGCTGGCTACCTGCATCTCTGGGCCTCAGTTTCTCCCTCTGTACCATGGCGATGTTACAGCACTTTTCTCCAGGTGTGAGATGTGAACACACCCTGCAGGGCTGTGTGTTGGGTCCACACTGGGTGAGCAGAAAGGCCCACTAAATCCTCACCAAGACTGTGATCCCATCACAGTTAGGGAAACTGAGGCACAGGCAAGTAAAGTGCCCCCTGCCCCGAGCCCCCCAGCTCGCAGATGACAGGATAGGAAATCAAACAGGGCTAAATGCAGACACCAAGGCCTCAGCCTCAGCATTCTGGGTTCCACAGCCTCTGGCTCCCTAACCCTCGAGAGGCCCTGACTCCCTGCCCTCCAGGGGAGAGTGACCAGACCCTGCCTGGCCACACCATGTAGGGGGAAGTTCCCTTCTTGGTGACTCAGTTTCCCCTCCAGAACCCTGTATGCTAGCCTGTGCTGGTGAGGACGGTTGGGGGCTGACAGTGAGCAGTTTCTTCCCTTCTGACAATGACCCTCACCCAGAGAAGGGTCTAGGAGATGATCTGGGCGCCAGCACACCAGGCTGGCCATCCCAAAAGACCAGGCGGGGGTGGGCTGGGCATGAGCAGAGCTGGAAGTTGGATCAACACATGGGCCATGGTCCCGGTCATGCCTGTGTGGGTCCTCGAGGGAGTCAGCCCGCCAGGGAGATGGGCATATTTCTCCCACGGCCACGCGCTCTCTGTGGCCTGATCTGGAGAGAAGCAGCCCGTGAGTTCTGTAAGTCCCTCCAGGGAATCACAGAGCCAGAGGTGACGCCAACTTGCAGTTGGTATAAAAAGTGGAGGCTGTGGCCTCCAGTCCTCCTGACTCCCACACCCCCACCCCAGCCCCAGCCTTCCCTGGGAGTGCAGGGCCTGGGTTGCCATGGCGACACAAGACGCCTCTTCCCTCCAGGCTGGCTCCCAGGCTCTCTCCTTCTTCTGCCCTCCCTCATCCCAAAGCCCCGGGTCAGGCCCTCTTGCTCTGGCCTCTGACGCCTCCCCTTCCGCTGCCAGGAGGAGAAGTTGGGGAAGACTTGGAAGAGGCAAAGTAGGGGCAGTGAGTGGGTGGGGCCAGGGATGCCCTTAGGCCCCCACAGAGCCCCCAATGGCTGACAGGGTCTGAGCAGGGGGAGAGGAGGCCCTGGCCTGAGGATGGAAGGGCGTGCGGTGGTGTTTTTGCCCCTTTCCATGTCCTGAGTAATTTTCCTGGCATGAGGCTGATGTGT